ACCTCTCCCTCACGCTTTTACTCTTCCCTTCCCTTCAGTTTTGTGGAGGATTCGTTTGGTGCTGGCTATGCTTATTTACACCCGCCCGTGTCAGAACACCGAGACCGGAGCACAGTTGAACCCCAGCAGCTGTCCCCACAGGGCTGGACTGGGGACTGGATGCGGTCAGTGGTAAGAAACGACATTATATCTTTTGGTGGTGGTGGTGGGCGGGAGATGAACTTGTTCGTACTTGTGTAAAGGATGTTGTGAAGACCTTTTCTTCTTCACGTATCAGAGTGTGCTGTGACAGTGAGGTAGGGAAGGGCGAGGCTGAGTATTTGCCAGCACTGTGAACAGCCTCTTTCTGATTGGGAGAGGCCCACCTGCCTCCAGCAGGAAATGTCACTGACTTTCCCAGCCTCCCTTGGGGCAAGGTACAGGTATGTGCTCTGACCGTGCCCTTGAGATGCACCCAGGATAGGAGAGCAAGTAGGAAGGCAACAGGCTCCAGTGTTTTGGGGGTGATGGTGGCAGAGGAGTAGTCTGCTTTGAATTGGGAGGGAGGCAGTGCAGACAGCATCTTGTTCATCTTCAGCATCATCATCGTCAGCTGGGAAGGCTGTCACACATCCCCTGGAGCAAGTCTCCCAGAGCCTGAATCATAGGCTCAGTGGAGATTTAATTAACACCCTCTGAAGGAAGCTGGGGGTGGGGAAAGAAGCAGCGAGAGGGGGCCTCGTCACTTGGAAGCAGCAGCCCCGGTTCGCCACCCACCGCCCTGCTGTGTGGAGCACCTGAATGGCCGGCCGGCTCTGGGAGCAGGAAAGGAGTGAACAGGGGGAAACAGCATGGTCGGGGGCTTTGGAAGTAGACTTGGGTTCCAGTGCTGGCGCTAACGCTTCTGGTCCCACATGAGCTATGTCCCATCTCCCTTGGGTGCTCGATTGCCTCAGAAGGTTGTGGAGTGAGGGGCCACTGCATGGCACTCCCGACATGAGAGAATCTGTCAGCAGAAGGATGTCAGAGTGACTCTGCTCTGGGCAAGGCCACAGTATAGAGTCACTGCGGGTGGGTTAAGCCACAGAAACCGGAGGTATTCTGTCACTGCGGCAGAACACGGCCTGCCACCGCTTACTCTGCCAAAGCTTTGGGCAGAGTTCTCAGGACAGTGCTTAGCCGGCTCTCACCTCCTACCACCCCGGCTTGTCTCCAGCAGGCCCGCCACACTCGGCCGCTGCTTCAGGCCAGGGTGCTGAGTGAATTGCTCAGGCCCAAAGAGCCAAACCTGGGGGAGGGAGGGGAAGTGAGTGCTGGAGAAGACAACCTTGGTGCCCCCCAGCCCATGGCCCCCAGCGTCCTCGCCTCCTTACCTGGAGTGCCAGGTACCCCGGAGGTCCTGGAATGGAGTGAGAACTGGTGAGGCTGCAGGGGGGGCATTGTGGGAGGGCCCGGGAGCGGAGTGACCCACAGAATCTTCCACGCTACCAGAGAGTAGTCAGGCCCCGGGAGCCTCATTTGCAAGGTGGCTTGGGTGTACCCCGTTTTTCCAGAAGGGTGGGACTGTGGGGGACAGCAATGTCCCTCCTCTCTGGCTGTGCCACCTCAGCGGCCCCTCAGCGCTTTCTCTGTGTCCGTGCTGCAGAGGGGCCTCAGCTGCCCTGTTCCACACAGCCTGTGCTCCATGGGCCCTGCCAAGAGCTGCCTGCTCCCTCCCACGAGGCCTTGATGGGCTTGCACCGGCACCAGCATCACTGCCACTTGCCTCCTTCAGGCTCCCCTCACCCCTCTAAGGCTGTACACAAGGCCAGCCTCTTGTGTATTCACCCCTCCCTCAGCGCTGGGCACCAGGAGAGGCTGGTGGTCCCTGCCGGCCTGGGGTGCCTAGAGCTCCAGGCCTGGTACTCCTGGAAAACCACATCTGCAGGGACTTCCGGGCCGGGGGGTGGAAGCTTCTGCCTCGCGCACCCCAGGACCCCCGCCTCTTCTCCAAGCCCCTTCTGCATCTCTGCACTGGTCTGGGGTGCATCTCTGTCCAGGCCTCCGCTCCTGCAACCGGATGTCCTGCCAGGCCCGGGTCTCAGGGGCTCTCCAGGTGTTCCGGGTCCAGAGGCTGAGCTGGACAGCTCCTCCCCGGCACTTGGACCCAAAGCCATTCCAGCAGGCAGAAGAAAGAAGAGGCCAGGCCAGGGGACAGTTGTATTGAATTTATTCTTCCCTCTTCTCACTCGAGCTCCTGATGCTCCCCACACACTCAGCGTGCTGTGGGGTGGGGAGGGGGTGGCCATGCATGACCACACACATCAAGGGTCCACACGCCCGGGCACAGCTTCCCTGTGTGGCTCCCACACCTCGGCCACTGGGCTGGCGGCCCACTGGTCCTTCTCCACTCACCCTCCCCCATCTCGTCTGGGCCCAGGAGCCCAGGAAGAGCTGTGGGGGGACGGGGGAAGAGTTCAGGTGCAGGTCCTGAAGTCTGACCAAATGGGCTGAGAAGTCCAGAAGGAAGGAGAAAGCCCACCACCACCCCAGATGGCCAGTGAGAGGTGATGATGCCAGGCTCTGCACCCCCACCCCCTCCCCCAGGCCCCTCACTCCAAAATCCAGGTGCTTGTTCGTTTGTTTCAAAAAATAAAAAGGAAATGTGAAAGCTGGTAAAACGAGAACCCCGCCCCTTACTGGCACTGCCGAGGTTCCATTATTGCTTCAGACCTTGTGGCCTGGCCTGAAAGAAGTTCCCGCCAGCACTGGCCCAGAGGGGAGAGCTGTTAGCACCAGGGACATGGGCCCGGCCCCATGGGGACAGTTCTAGGAGAGGGGCCAGCCATGCCCACTTCAGCTACAAGGACCATTTCCTCCAGTACCCAGCCTGCTGCCTCCATCCCTTCTCCCTGCCCTCAGTGGGGACGTTAGCAAGAACAGGACCCCCAAGTCTTGGAACAGGTTTCCCCACCAGCTCCCCCCTAACCCACCTCTGGTCTCGCTTGTCAGCACAGTCTGACACACCTGGGGCCCCCAGGCTTGCTATAGCTGCTGGGTAGCTAGCCAGTGACAAGGAATAGATCTTGGGGTCAGTGACGGGCTTGGGGAGCCCATCGGGACCCTAGGCTTACAGCCCATGGCTGGGGGTGGAGGGTGGGGGGAGGGAGAGACCAACGTTTTGGTTTTTTTTTTTCTGTTTTTTGTTTTTTTTTTTTTTGAAAACGTGAGCCAGCTCTGAAGAGCTGCCAGGCACTGGACCAGAGGTTAGAAATAGCAAGGGGTTGGGGGGTCAGGGTGGGGAAGCACAGAGGGGCGGGAGGGGGGACCCTGAGGACATCGTGGAAGCCCAGAGATCAAGGGGTGTAGGAGAGGGAGAGAGTCGCAGGAAAGCAAGAGGCTGGGAGGCCCAGGCCTGACCCCATGAGGCTGGAGTCAGCCTGCTGTGGGGGGGAAGGAGAGACAGGGGGGTGGGCCTTCCTTCCCCCCCAGGGGGCAGCCTGAGAAGCCAGGCTCTGGCTTGGAGTCTGCAGCCCCAAACTCCGCTGGGCCAGGGCACTGCCCCTCCGAGCCCGCGGGACGAGCCGGGCTGTGTGGACTGCTGGACCATCCACCCTCAAATCACTCGGGCTCCTGGGGCCTGCCCACGTCTGTACAGAATAAAGTGCTTCGTTTATTGATGATTAAAATGATCCCAGCCCCCACCCTGGAGCCCTGGGCCTCACAAGGTCGGGGGTGCTGAACCCCATCAGCCCTGAGGCTGGCAGGGCCTGATCTGCCCCCCTGGCCCCAACCAACTAACTCCCTTGGACTCGGGCCTCTCCCCCCCTCCAGCCATGCTGTGAAGGTGGTGGCCGTGGGGGGGTGGTCGTGGAGGTTTAAGGTGCAGAGAGTGTAACAAACAAAACTGTATAAACACGCTAGGAAAGGGCTTACCTAGGAAACGTAGCTTATGGAACCTTCCTCCCCAATCTGAAGGCAGGAGTAAAGACGTTTAAATGGCAACCAAAAAAAAAAACAAAAAAAGTGTCCTATGAGTCCTGGCCTCACGGGGGCAAGCGCCAGGCATGAGTGGGGACTCCCCAGGCTGCCCCCACCTGGCCTCCAGGGCCTGAAATGCAAGAACCTCTTTCTGGCTGTGCCGCGCCTGCCCGTGCAGAGGCCAGGAGGGCTCAGGACGCTGGACACCAGCGCCAGTGGGTGGTGATCCCGCCGGAGGATGAGGCCCTGTGCTGCCCTCAGGAGTGGAGACAAACATGGATACACGTGTCCTGCTGGCCAGGGCACGTGGGCAGCTGGGGAAAGGCCGGGAGCGCTGCAGGCCCAACTCAAGCCCTCCTGATAGCACCATAGAACCTTCACACCTTTGACCAGGCTTCCTCCTAGGACCCTGCCAGGGGGGTCTTCACCTGCAGGGGCTGGGGGGTCCTTGACTGCAGAAGCTGGAATTTCCGGTGGCCGCCCCCCCCCCACCCAGGAGCATGGAGGGTCCCTCTGTTCTGCCTGGTATGGGTGGTAGGGTCCCTGGGCCTGCGGGACAGGGGCAGTGGGGGTGAAGGGGGAAAGTCAGTTTTTGGGGTCCAGCCCCTGCCTGCCCCTCTCCCCACCAGACGGTGTCCACTCTCAAGTCCCTGCTTCCATGTCCACTACCCTCAGAATGGCTCCCCAGCTCCTCCAAAAGGGGACTGGCACCCCAATGTCTTCGGGAACCCCCAGAATGAGGGGGGTACATTTGTCGGCATGGGGAGGTCGGGAGGAGAAGCTGGCTGGGACTCAGGCCCCCTCCAGTGACCCCCTCCCCTCCCTACCTCCTTTGCACCCCTCTCACCTGGAGAGGGGGGCTGCAAAGTTTCACTTCGGAACAAAAAAAAAAACAGCTCCCCCACCCCAAAGCGAAGGCTTCCAGGAGTCACTGCAAAGGGGGCACTTGGGAGTGCGGTGGTCTCCAGGGACACGGGGTGCCTGCGCCCCCGGGGTCCCGCGTCCAGCTGGCTCTGGATGGAAATGGGGACGCGGCAGGTCCACGCCCTGAAGGGAGGCTCCAGGGTGCAGGTGGAGGGTCTGCAGTTAGTTGGCGCCCAGCCTCCCGCCCGCGGGGGCCGCCCCTGGGGCGGCGGTGGGGAAGAGCGGTGGGGGCGGCGGCAGGTGGGGCTGCGGGGGCAGGGTGGGGGGCAGCCCCGCGAGCAGGGGCAGGGCCGGGGGCTGCGCGGGGGCCAGGCCCGGGGCCGCGGGGGCACCGTCGGCGGCCAGGGGGTGCGTGACGCGGAAGCACTTCTCCTTGTGCGCCTTGAGCATGTTGGAGAAGCGGAAGCGCTGGCCGCACACGTCGCAGGGGTACGGCTTCTCGCCCGTGTGCGTGCGCCGGTGCCGCTTCATGTTGGGCCGGCTCGTGAAGCTCTTGCCGCAGATCTCGCAGATGTACGGCTTCTCCCCTGCAGGCAGCAGCGGAGTGGGGCGTCAGGGGGACACCCACCCTGCCCCAGCCATGCACCGGCGGAGCATGCATGTGTGCGTGCATGGGCGCGTACCTCCGTGCATGTGTGTGTGTGTGTGTGTGTGTGTGTGAGTGCGTGCACGCGGTGCAGGTGTGTATGCCTGTGCACGTGTATATACACATGTACATGTGAGCACGTGCACACATCCGCGCATGTGTGTGTGTCTGCCCACGGGTGCCCGTGCATGTGTACATGTCGTGTGAGCATGTGTGTTGCATGCATGTATGCATGTTTGCACATGTGCACATGGAAGTGTGCGTGTGTGCACATGCACACAGCCCAGACATACTGATCCCCCCTCCCTGGGCCATGCCACACCAGCATTGCCCTGAGGGTGCCCTGGAGTCCCTGAGTTGGGGGGCGGGGGCAGGGCCCTCACTACCTGTGTGGGTCTTCATGTGCTCGTCGAAGTACTGCTTCATGTTGAAGTCCTTGCCGCACCACTGGCACATGAACTGCTTGTGGCCAATGTGGATGCTCATGTGGGAGCGTAACTGGTACTTGTACTGGAAACGTTCGTTGCAGTTCTGGGGGCAGTGAAGGAGGGACACACATGGGATCACTCATTTCCTCTCTTTTTCATGCCCTTCTGAGCAAGGAGGTGCTCCTGGGGAGGGCAGTGTACGGGTGGGGCATGCAAGGCCTAAGTGGGATGGGGTGAGGGTGTCACAAAGCAGGGAAAGGCCGAAGAGCCAAAGGGAGTCCTTATGTAGAAGGCCCCAGGCCCCCTCACCTTTCCTGGCTGTTGGAAGATCCCAGCCCCACCGGCAGCTCCCCAGCCAACCTGACACCCTCCTCCCTCAAGCTCTCCAGACAGCCTGTTCCTGCCCCTGGCCCAGGCTGCAGCCCCCCAGATGGCCCAGCCTCAATGAATGGGGCCAGCTAGGTGTGCCGGGTTCAGGGAGGAGATGGGGAGCAGGGACCCTCTTTGGGAGCACCGTGCTCTACCCCCGACACCTTTAAGCAGTTGTGTCCCTGACGACCCCCCACCGCAAGGCCCAGGGTGGTCAGGGAGTGGGGTTTGGGGCACTCACCTCACACCGGAAAGGCTTCTCCCCCGAATGCTGCAGCGAGTGCACCTTGAGAGACATGCTGCGCTTGAAGGACTTCCCGCAAGTCTCACAGGTGAAGGGCATGTCCTTGGTATGGGCTACAAGGTGGTCACCATGGCTGTCACAACTCCCAGGCAATTCCTCCCCCAGGCACAAGGCCACCTCCCAGCCCCCACCTTCCCCGGAGCCTTCCTGCCTTCTGGTCCCTCTGGGGAAGCACCCCTCTCTGCACAGAAGTTTGGCTCTTCAAGAGTGAGGGTCACCATGCTCCTTAGCCTCTGGCCAAGAGAAACAAAACCTCACCCCCAGTGCTTCAGGGGTTCCCAGTCGGACTGGCCTCAGCTCAAACCCTGGCCCAGCTACTGGCTCTGTTTGGCTTCTGGAGGCTTCAACAACTTCTATAAAAGGAGACATGACAGTGGGTAGGGGGTGCCTGCCTTGCATATGGAGGACCTGGTCTCAACCCCGACACCCCATGTGGTCCCCTGAGTACCACTAGCAGTGATTCCTGAGTGTACAGCCAGGAGGGTCCCTCTACCCCCATCCCTCCCCCCCCCCACCCCCCCCCCACACACACACATACAACCAAAGACAGGAAGAAGGCCTAAGCATTGGCTGACTGGCTGGTGTGTGAACTCAGCACCCTGAGTTCTAGGTCCAACTGTGGGGGTCTGGGGCACTAAGCAGTCCAGAGGGATAAGTGAGTGCCCACAGTCTTCCAGAAAAATCTGGGAGGAATCAACAGAAGATGGGCAGGACCTCCTCAGTGCTCTAAGCTCAGACACTCCAGTCCAGGAACCCCCTCCTCCCCCCCCCCCCCCACACACACCAGCTCTGGGTTACTGGGCATATTTTGCAGGGAGGTGCAGCTCTCCACCAGTTTATACTAGACAGGTACTGACCAGTGTTATAAGGGGCCTGGGTCTGGCCAGGAAGAGAGGGTGCCTGGACACTAGCATTGATGGGGCCCCACGCGCCTTTGGGAGGGACCTTCTTGCAATGTGCAGGGGTGGCCCTGGGGGAGGGGCGCACTAAGAGAAGGCAGAGGCCTACATCTGAGAAGCCTGTGCTCTGGCAGGGCTAGAGGGGGAGGAAGTGTCCCAGGCTGGGCTGTCCTCACGCTCTGGAGGCCGGGTCCCTAGGAAGCTGCATTGATCGATCGATCCGGAAAAGGCGCTCCTTTCCCTGGGGCACACTGCCCCCACACAGCAGCGCACAGCCTGGTGGGCAAGGGCCAGCCGGCACTCTGGGGGAAACCTGCCCCGCCCCCTTGGCCAATCAGTGCTGCCCGCCCCCCCCCACCCCCCCTCCCCGGTGCTCACGGGCGCGCCCTGGCGGGACTTACCGACCATGTGCTTGCGCACGTGCGCCATGGTGTAGAACTTCTTCTCGCAGATCTCACACGAGAATTTCTTCTCGGCGTATCCGTGCACGATCTTGTTGTGCTCGTGGAGGGACCAGAGCTTCTTAAAAGCTTTGCCGCAGGTCACACACTGCGGGGGGTGGGGGGCGAGAGAGGGCGTTAGGACCAGCGTCCTGACCCTGCCCACTCCCTGAATGTGTCTCCACCTGCCTCCCTGCCCCAAACTCAAGTACGGTGCTACTTGGGAGGGGGGAGCACAGCAGGGGGGAGATCCGCTGCCCCGTCCGTGGGGCGGCCCCTCGCTGGCCCAGGCTATCTCTGCTGCGGCCACGTTCACTAAAAGAGGGCTGGAAGATGCTGGGGCGGGGTGGGGGTAGGCGAAGGGGGCTCATGGAGCCACCTCCTCTTTCCTGGCCTCGTCCACCCTGCATATACAATTGGGAAGCCAGGGTGGGGGTCCACATGGGAAGGGGCACAGGTGTGGCAGGCCAGGCAGCAGGTAGGCAGGTGGAAACCGGTGCTGCACCGGGGTGGGGTAGGGCGGGGCTGGGGAAACCCCTGGGGGCAGACTTTCTCCACCAGCAATTAGCACTTAACGCAGGCAATTAGCATCCACCTACCTGCCCCTCACGCCCCCTGGGCCCCTGGAAAGGTGAATCTCTGTCTGGCAGCCCTGGCCTGCCTCACCGCTAGGCCCCAGGTGGACACAGACAGGCTGGTGCGAGACCTGGCAGCCCCCACAAAGTCCTCAGCACGACCGCAGCCCCTCCAGATCTTCCCAAATTTCATTTCCGGCCCCCGCACCCCCCCCCCTTTCATTCAGCCTTTACTGCGGGTGGGAAAGGGCGCCCCCCTCTGGGCGAACCTTGTGCGCGCAGCCTGGGCCGCAGGTGCTCTGCGGGAGCACTGGAAACAGGCTAACCCGGCACACAGCTCTCCTCTCGCCCCTACCTGGGCCGCCCTGGCCACGAGCAAGGGAGCGAGGGCTGCGCCTTCCGATCCTGTGCGCAGGCTCAGGCCCCGGTTGCCCCCTCCCCCAGGAAGCTCTCCTCCGGCAGGGGCCTCGGAGCCCCCGTGCGCGTGGCCCACCTGGATGTTGCGCCCACCTGGATGTTGCGCTCGCAGTCCGTCTGCCGGTGCAGCAGCAGCTCGCTCTCCAGCAGGAAGCGCTTCCCGCACTGGTCGCAGATCTGCATGCGGCTGTGGGTCACGTTCATGTGCTTCTCCAGGTACCAGCGGTTGTTGAACACGCGGGGGCACTTCTGGCACGGGTGATGCTGCTTCTCCTCCAGCTTCACCTTGGCCCCAAGTCCGTCGGCGGCGGCGGTAGCCGGGGTCCCGCGGGCAGAGGCGGCGGCGGCGGCGGCGGCGGCGGCCCCCCCTGGGGGCGGCTTGGACCGCTTCCCACCCCTCCGCCCTGCCTCCTCGGGTTCAGGGGCCCCCCGGCTCCGGGCATTCTCACGGGACCGGGTGGCCATGCGACTGTGGGGAGTGGGGTCTGCTCGGCCGCCCCTGCGGCCCCCGGGGCCCTGCCTGGCCCCCGCCTCCCCCTCTTCTTCCTCTTCCTCCTCCTCTGAGCTCTCTTGATCCTGGTCGCTGTGCCCTTCCTCTTCCTCCTCCTCTTCCTCCTCCTGCTCACTCTGCCCTTCCTCACCTTCCTCCTCCTCCTCTCCCTGACTGCCACCCTCCTCCTCTTCCTCCTCCTCTTCCTCCTCCCTTCCACTGCCACCACCTTCCTCCTCTTCCTCCTCCTCTTCTTCCTCCTCTTCCTCATTGTCCTCCTCCTCGTCCTCCTCTGAGTGTCTCTGCAGCCCCTCCTCCTGGCCCAGCACCATGGTGGCAGGGCCCGTGGCAGGGCCCGGCTTCCCCTCCGGCCCCGTGGACACGTGCAGCGTCTGGTTGTTGAGGTTCACCTCCACGATGATCTGGGACTGCTCCCGGCGGCTGTAGGTGCCCGAGTCTCCCAGCTCTTCCTCGGGCTCCTCCCCTGTCTCCAGCTTGCACAGGCTGCCCGGGGCACCCCCAGCCTCATCCGCAGCCCCTTCTTTCTCCTCCTTGAAGAAGGGCTGGGTGGGCGCCACAGGGGCGGGCCCAGAGCCCCCCGGGGTGCCAGCTCCGTCCTCCACGCGCACCGAGTAGGGGTCGGGGCCCTCGCGAGCGAAGATCTTCGGCAGCCCCGGGGTATCGGCCTCCTGCTTGATGTCACAGTAGTAGGGTGGTGTGGCCGGGGTGCAGCTGGCGGCCGGCTGGGCCAGGGCCACCGTGCCGGGGCCCGGGGGGCCCAGGGAGCGGGCGTCCAGCAGCTCCTGGCAGGAGGCGGCGATGTCGGCCATCTGTAGCAGCGAGGCGGCGCTCAGCACCTCGTGCACGTTGGCGGCGTTGACCAGCAGCTTGGACGTGTAGATGAAGTTGAGGATCTGCTGCAGGCCACCAGGGGCCAGCGCCTCCAGGGACAGCTCCACGCGCTGCAGCTGCTTGTTCTGGGTGAAGAGCGAGTGGAAGAACTGGCTGTAGGCGGCCAGCACGCCCTTGTGGGCCGGGAAGACGCTGCGCTGGGGCACCAGCACCAGGTCCACGTCGCAGAGGTCGGGCTGGAAGAGGCGCTGCTCATTCAGGCGGCCCATCAAGCAGGCGAAGTGCAGCGCCACGTCCTCCACCAGCGAGAACTCGGCCGCCGGTGAGTCGGTTGTCTTCTCAACCAGCAACTGCAGGGCAGAGGGGACAGGAGAGGTCAAGGGCCAGGTGTGGGGGTGGGGCGCCCGCGAGCACGGGGACGAGAGGGGGATTTGGGCCCCTAGAAGTGCAAACACCAACAATGACCTTCTGAAGTCCACGGTGGGTGGGTTGGGGGTTATGGGTGGGTGGGTGGGTGGGGCCCCCAGCTCTCTCCTGTGAGATGAGAAAAGTCATCACAGAAGGGAAGGGGAAGCAAGGGTTGGGGAAAACCTAGTGGCCTCGGGAACTTCTGGGACTACAACGAGGGTCTTCCTGGGCAGGGCCCAAGGGCAGTACCTGCCACGACCCCCAACAGCAGTCACCTCCCCGCAGGTTTTGCCACCACGAGGTGGCTCCCGGTGTGTTAGTACAGGAGGGCTTCTTGGAGCCACCATGGGAAGTTACCTAATCCCCTAAACCTGAGGATTAGGTGGTGGGTTTCCCAAGAAGTGACGTGGGTAGCATTTCCGGAGCCCCTAGGACCTGCTCACAAAGGAAACAAGCTTGCAGGGCCCAGGCACCCGAAGGCTGAGGGCTGGGAGTCAAGCTCACTTGCTCTCTCCCGTGCCTCTGGCTGAGGAGTGATCAGGGCATTTATTTAAGGGCAGCATCTAGAACAAGCCCCCTTCCCCCCCCCAGCAGTGGCCCCCAAGGCCCAGGCTGCAGAGGGAGACGCCTCTGAGAGGATCCCGGACTCGGAACTTCAGCCCACGCTGGCCGGCTCCCTGCTGCAGGAGGTTGGGGAAGCACCAACTCCTTCATTGCTCGTCAGAGCTCAGGCCAGGCCACATGCATGCACAGACACGCATGGACACACACAGAAGCAGGCACACGCCCAGTCACCTCAGTAACTCCCCTGGGGGGGCGGTGGTTCTGAGGACACGGGAAGACACAGCTGTGTCACCTCATGCTTGGAGGCAGGATGCCCCCGGATCCCTTTCCTGCTAGGGGTCCAGATGGGAATGTCTGGGCCAGAGGTAGCAAGAATGTGTCAGCCTGGAGCTGACACCACAGGGGCCTCAGGGAGGCCCAGCCTGGGGGTTGGCTGTAGTAGGGGTTGATCTAATCATCCCTGGTTCCCCCACAGTGGCCTCCCCACACAGGGGCTGCCAACTGTCCTACAGGCTCCAGGCATTGGCGCTTCTCAGGCCCCCTACAGCTAAGGGGCTCCTGTCCACTGCCACAGACCATTAGCTCCCTATTCTCCCCTAAGAATCTCCCGGGGGCTCCAGGAAGTTCCGATTCAGTACATTCACTGCCCACTAGGACATGCCAGCTGGTGGGGCAGCAGCAGAGGGTGGGGCCAAGACTGGGCAGGGGAGTGAGGTCTTTGTGCTCAACTTTCCAGGCAGGTGAGTGAGAATCCAGGCCTCAGGATGACCCTTAAAGTGGCCCTCAGCGCCACCTGCTTCCAGACCTGCCGGGGGCCTCACCCACCGCTGCTCTCGGGCCCCATGCAGGCCAGGATGCCCTCCACTCTCCAGGGTCAACATCTTCGTCTTGTTCTTGCCACCAGCAGGCTTCCTTCCCCCACCCCACTCCCCCAAGACACGCCCCATCCCTCCCTGTCTCCATGCTGCTGGCCATGCAACAGGGGAGAGAGGGCCAAGTCCCCGCCCCTCCCCCTGACTCAGTTTGATTCATCCTTGGGCCCAAACGCTAGTGCTCATGCTCAGTCTAGCCGGGGACACTGAGGTTCAGAGCAGTGGGGCCCCCAGTGAGCGCAGAGGACTCAGCAGCCCAAGGCTGGCTTTCTTGGTCTGTCTCAGAGAGCCCCTGACCCCAGGAGCTGCTCTGCTGACCACTCCCCCAATCCCACTTAGAGCCACTTCCCACCTCCAGGGCAGAGGACTGGGGTAATGTGGGGCTCTGAGGAGTGGCAGGGACCAAGGGAGGCGGGGGAGGAGGCTGGAATGAAGAGGTCTGTTCGGGGAGCCCACTCAGGGTTCTGCTCCCCCTTAAGGTAACGCCCTTGGTGCTCACCTGTCAGGGAAAGGTGAGGCTGGGCTGAGGGCTGGTGCCACCCTGAAGAGTCCATGTGAAAGAGGGTACCCCCTGCCGAGCCATGCCCTCCGGGGTCTGAGACCCTCACAACCTGCCTGGATTTCCCGCCAAGGGGTCATCCAGATGTCCCTTCCAGTGCACTGCTGCCCGTCCCAGTGCCCCGCCCCCAAGTAGTGCCCACCAGATGTGCCCGTTTCCCACACTGCGGTCATACACCCCACTCCTGTGTTCAGGCCAGGAGGCCCGCGGCAGTGGTCAGGCACTCCTGTTTCAGACCCGGAGATGGGCGGTGGGAGTGTTCCTGGCTTCAAAGGTTCCTCCAAACCGTGCTGCGGCAGGGGGGTGGGGTGGGGGGTGGGGGCTAAGTGCCCAGGGCACCTGCTGAGGCGGCCCCCTGCACTCTCCAGCCCCTCAGCGATGCTCCTAGCGCTGGGGAGTGAGGAGGGGTCCTGGGTGCTGGCTCCTCCTTTGGGGGTGGGGGTGGGGGGTGGTCTGTGTCAGCCTCCCCCCCTCGCCCCCCAACACACACCGGACCCACCCTCCTTCCTAGGGAAACGGGCCCAGAGAGGGCGGGGGACCGGCCCAAGGTCACACAGGAGTTCGAACCCAGATTGCGAGCCTCGCCCCCACCCCGCTGGGCCCAGGCGCCCCCCGCGAATCCCGAGGCTGGGCGGCTCCAGCGCCCACGTGGCCCAAGGCCCAGGCGGGAATCGGAGCTCGCCCCCCGGCCACCCCCTCCAGCCCCCGCCCCCAAGCCCGTCACCCGGGCGGAGGGCGGCGCCGCCGCGTCCGTCCGTCCGGGGCTCGGGGAAGCGCCCCCCGCGGCCGTGCCCCGCCAGACCGCAAGGCGCGCGCCCCCACCCCAGGAATTTAACCCCTTCCTCCCCGCCGGGGCAGCGGAGCCGCGCCGCGGGGGAGGGGGGCGGGCGTGGGGGTCGGGGGGGGGGTCACGCGGGCGGCGGGCAGGTGGGCGGATAAGCGGGGGGACAGGCGGGCCTTGCGTACCATGGTGCCGCGGCGCTGGGGGCTCACAGGGCCCCGCGGGATCGCGCTGCCCCCGGCGGCCGGGCCGGGGGCCGCTCCATGAAGCGCCGCGCTGGGGGCCGCCCCCGCGCTCGGCCCCGCGACCATGGCCCCCGGGGGCGCGGGCGGGCGGAGGCGCTGGGCCGGCGAGTGCGGCCGCCGAGCAGCTGCGGCCCCGGAGCCTCGGGCGCGGCGGGCGGGCGGGCGGGGGGCGCGGGGCGCCGATTGGAGCCCGCGCGTCAGCTGGGGCCGCCGTCTGGACGCTTAAAGGGCCAGGCCGCCCTGCGCGCCGGCGGGGGGCGCGGACACGCGTGGGGGCCGACGCGCGCGGGCCGCCCGCAACCCCGCGCCTGCCCCGGGCCGGTCGCGACCCCGGCTCGGGTGCCAGGCGGGGGAGGCCCGCCCTGGCTGGCCTGGAGTCGAACCCGGGTGTCCTCCAGCGGCGGCCCCCTGAGATGGGGAGCCCTGGGGCGCCCGGGGCACCTCCCCCCCCGCCCACCACACACACACCCCTTCCCCAAGCAGCTGCAGAACGGGCTTCCTTGCACCTGCTGGGATCCCTGAGCGACCCCAGGCTTTGGGACCGAACCCTCGGACCCCAGCTGCACTCAGCACCCGACTGGAGAGTGAGTGGGATCTGCAGGCAGCCGGGCCCCTCGTGTGCCTCCCCGGGGCTGCCCGCTTCCGAGGGAGCAGCAGTGCCTACCTGGCGGCGCTGCGGGGCCCCAGGTGCCACAACCCGGACCCCCAGTTTCAAGGGACCAGGAGCAACGAGGCTGGAGCCGTGGGGGCCCGAGGCCCAGCTTGGTGACCCGGCTGCTGCCGAGGAGGCGCCGGCTCGGTCTCTGCTGGGGAGATGCAGCCAGGCCTGCGGAATGCTGCTCTGGCATGGGCACTGGTGGGGGCAGGGGGCTGGCTGGGCTGGCAGGAGGCTGCAAAGGAACTGCCAGGCTGAGCAGTCAGTCGGGTGGAGACCACGGCATGCTGGGCCTGGCAGGGCCCAGGAGGTGGAGGGCTCCCCCCATGGGTAGTGGGGCCCTCTCATGGGATGCCTTTCTAGGCCCCCAGCACACTCCTTGCTGTGTCAGCCCCCACTTTTGGTCACTCACTTGCTACCCTGGCAGGACCACTCGGACCCCCTAACCACCACAACCACACACACACACACACACACACACACACACACACACACAGCTCAGGATTGCACTCCAGCTCATGCCCCATGCAGCAGCACCCCTGGGATTTACCACCTTTCACTCATGGGCAGGATTCAGGGACTTGCTCAGCATGCCCTGGGAGGAAGTGGAAGCCAAGACCCGAGGCAGGCCCTGTTACCAAGTCTGGTAAAAAGATGGGGAGATCCTCAAGACCATCTCGGAGCCAGAGAGAACATCTCAGGGGCAAAGACGGGGCTGACCAAAAAATGGGGAGCAGGAGGGAGGCATGCACAGAGCCCCTGGGTGGAGTGGGGTGGGGTGAGTGAACAGAGGAAGGGTGGGAATGCAACCTTGGAAGGGGCCGCTGCAGACTTTTAGCACCTGTGTGGCCGTGGTAGGTATTGGTTTAGCTCCCAGGGGCCACAGGCTGAGGCCTGGCCCAGGCGGCCGGCATGCCTGTCAAACCAGTCACCTCGGCACTGCCGCCCGCCTCTTCCTCTTCTCCCGTCCCAACCCACTTCCTCATCTCACTGTGGGTCCTGCAGCGGCCTTCGAGGTGGTGGGCAGGGCTTGCATACCCAGTGGTCAGATAAGGACCAGGAGGCCTAGCACAAGGGCAGATCCCACAGCCAGAAGCGACCCTCAGGAGCCAAGGAAGAGGCTGGGAGTGAGCCCCCTCCATCTCTCCCACGGGCTGGGAGGAGCCTGGCAGAGAGGGTTGCCTGGGACCCCAGCCAGGGCTTGGCAGGGGGTGTGGCTGGCGTGACCAGGATTGATTGGGACAGTGGTAGTCCAGCAAAGTTTGGGTGAGACGAGTCTGGGGAGCTGATGTCCCTGAATTCCCTTGTGTTTTCCTTCTCTTTTCTCCTCTGGCCCAGGTGCTTGGGCAGAATCTGGGCTCTCTCAGATGCCACAGAGCCATGCCCCACCCCGCCCAGCAGGATCGCTTTGTTTGAGGAGTTCAGTCTGGTGGCTCAGAGGGGACTGCACAGAGTAGAAACTTCTAAGTTGATTATCTAAAGCAAAGGAAAGGGACTCCAGGCAGAGACCAGGAGGCAGCAGATAGCTGAACCCCAGCAGTGAACTAGGTCAGACTGTGATGCCGTGACAGCCAGGTTGGGAGTGGCAGGTCATGGGAGGGGAGTGGGGGGGGGGGGCAGAATGGATGGAGGTGAGCCCTGCTGTGTTGGCCTCAGTACTGGCCTGGCCCAGAAAGCTGTTCCTCAGGGCCAAAGCGGGCTTCATGGAGGGGTTAGGGTGGGACTGCATTATTGGGAAGGATTCCAAACTAGGATTGTGTGCCCCAGGCAGAGCTCAGTGATCTGGCACTGGGGGTTGGGGATCAGCAAGGTCAGTGGAGTCCTGTCTCTGCCTCGAAGGGCAGCTCACCATGTCCCTTTCCACACCGAGCCCTTAGATTCTTCCGGAGGGTGGGGAAACAGACCCACCTTTCTCGGAGAGAGAACTTGGAGAACCAAACTCACCCTTTCTAAGTCTGGAACAAACAGCACAGGCCTTGTGTCCGTGCACCCGCGTTTAACCAGATTCTCCCTTTCTCAGCCTGCAAAGCAGAGTCCAGGCCTGGGTGTGCGCCTGTGGTGCGGAGCCTGGCCTGCCAGGGCGTGGGTGTGGAGCCTGCGTGCGCTACAGGGCTGGCTTCCCCAAGGGGTCTGCAAGGGTGGAGCTGCTGTGGCTGAGATGGGGAAAGAGGGGGAACAGAAACGGCACTGCAGGGTGGCGGGCACAGATCTATGGCTGTAACAGGGTGGGGGGACCTCCTGCCTCCACTGAACTAACAGATTACAGCTGTTGGGGAGGAGGGGGTGGGGGGCACGCAGAGCACTAATGCAAACCAGCAGATCTCCGTTTCCTCAGCATCCGCGTCACAGCCTTGGCATTCAAAGCTTTCCTAGCAGTCTCCAGGATCCTCTCCCACCCAGTGGTTCAAGGGAGCCTGGCCCTCTGTGTGGGACATCTTCCCTCTTCCTGGAGACAAGCCCAGAAGCTAAGACCCCAAGTCACTGATGCAGGCTCCCCAGTAGGCACTTCTAATCCCACCCAGTTCTAGGAGTCGCTACGATCTGTTTTTCCAATGAAGAGCTGAATCATAAAGACCCAGCAATTGATCTCGAGGTACCCACCTAGAAGCGGGGCAGGGCAACACTAGAACCCAGACAGGTTGGCTTTAGTTCCAAACCCTGAAGGACTGTATCAGATCGAGTACCATGGAAATCAAATCAGAGTCAAATTAGGTCAGTGGGGGATCCTTCAGTCATTCTCTGGAAACTTGCCCTTACAGTGGTTAGTTGCACGAAGCCCTGGGTGACCAGTGGTTGAAGTGCGCCCCAAATCCCTATCCCCAGTGGACCCCCTGGCAGGCCAACTCATCCCTAGCCTGGTCCGCATGCCTGGTTTCACCAGTCTTATGCACCCTCTTGGAACTTGAGTGGAGCCAGGCCTGTCTAAATGAGCAGAAGCGTGGGGTCCAGTGCAGAATCCAGGTCACTCCTTGTTTTACTCTGACGTCTCGGCTGAAACGGGACACTCTCCATTCTGGTCTGGGCCCTACACTTTGCCTCAGTTTGGGTTAACTGGAGCTTGATGGGCAACAGATGGTTCATGGTGGGTCTGAAATCTCCAGGGACAGAAGTACTTCCCCTGTGATGGGCACAGCCCCATTCAAGACTTTCTGATTCACAGGGATGAGCGAAGGCAGGACAAGGGAGCACTGCTTCAACCCTGTATGAAAACCTTTCAAGAAAACAGATGAGGGAGCTGGAGGAGAGTGCTTGTCTTCCTTGCATGTGCAAGGAAGGTGGGTTCGATCCCTGACATTCGGTCCCTTGACAACCACAAGGAGCGATTCCCTGAATGCAGAATCAGGTGTAACCCCTGAGTATGGCTAAGTGTGTTCCCAAAACAAAAACTAAGGAAAACAGATGGTCTGCAGCCCCCTTCTCTCCCTCTGCCTTGCTCCTCAGGTGCTACATGTTATCAGAAACTAGAGGCCTTGTCCAGTATAACCAGCGCTTTTCCCTGAAACCCCTCAATGGGCCAGCCACCACTTCAGCACTCTTCCCAGTTCATTCTAACTGTGCCCCCTGAGGACTCCAGCTCTCACCTCTGGCCCTGGCAGCAGACAGCTCATTTCTTTCTCAATACCTGTCACTGGAGGCTACGTAGCTTCCAGGACCCTCCCCTTGCCAGTTTGCACAACAAGCGTGCAAGTTACTTACTAAGTACAGCTTCCTTTCCCTTCCAGCAAGGCCCTGTGTGCTTGCTCCTGCTTCCATTTCCTGCCCAGCTGATTCAGCACAGTCAAGACCTTGCACTCCCTGGCCAGCTCCTCCAGAGCTGCTCAAGATTATCTGGGAGACAGCCTGAAGCTCACTCAAAATATAAGACTCAGAACAAACCTGGGATTTCCCTACAACAAAGACTTAATGGATCCAGATTTCAGGAACTCCCTAAGCTGGGAGTCTCGCTGTTCATTCACTTGAAAACTCACTACCTGCAAGTCCATGAGAAGCTATGTTGTGTTCACCCCCCCCCAAAAAAAAAAAAACCACAAATTCTTTTGAGTTCTAAGAAGAAAAAAAGTTAATTGTACTTGCCCTGTAAAATTCTCATGTGGATGCTAAAAATATGTCTGAGAGTGAGTGCCACGTGTCTGGTGAGCAAGCAGGCGTGGCAGCTGTGAATTAGCAAGGAAATGTGCTGGCCTTAGGGGCCGGACCTCTTTTTTTCTCCCCTTTTTTTTTGGGTCACACCCGGCGATGCACAGGGGTTACTACTGGGGCATGCACTTAGGAATTACTCCTGGCAGTGTTCGGGGGACCATATGGGATGCTGGGAATCGAACCCGGGTTGGCCGTGTGCAAGGCAAACACCCTATCTGCTGTACTATCACTCCAGCCCCTCAGGACCTCTTTCTCCCTTAGGGGTCATCTATCCTGTCCATGGCAGGACAAAGACCAGCACCATCAATACTGAGCAGCTCTGTGTGAAATTCTCTCTAGTTCCACCTCTTGCCAATATCCACAACTAAAACCACCACTTAGCTAGAAGATGAAAATGAGTTGCAAAGAGAGGAAGTCAATCCACTGAATCGGTCAGCAAAGAGAGTCAATGTTTTCATTTCTACTTCAGAAAGACTATTTGAAGTCTGTATGAGTAATGAAAGATGAAACATGCGGAGATGTGGTCTTAGATTAAGTATATATATTTTAATTTTTACAGGTCCCCTTTTCAAGTTTTAGGGAAATTAAAATGAAGTATATACACATTAAACATTGACAGTATGTACAAAAGAATTTCTATAAGTTCTGAACACCAGCTGTATCAGGTTTCATTTGCAGTAAACGGGACATTACAAAAACAGTCCAGTGATGCATTTTCTGTTGAGAAGCACAATACATAATTCAGTTTTATTAAAAATAACTTAAAATACAGAACAATCCCCTTTAGGAAGAAAAGCTGTTTCTGCAGTTCATTCAGCAAGCACACGGGTTGAAGGCTGCACTAGAGGGCTGTTCTCTTCCATGGAGAAAACAAAGGAAATTTCTAAGGGCCACCCTCTGAGGACAGAACGTCACCCACAGACAAGATGGGCAAAGTTACAGCCTGTGTTAGAAAGTTCTAAACGTTCCTCTTCCCATTCCATGCCTCAATCCCAAGAATCTGTGAATAAATCACTGTGGTATGTCACTGTCCTCCTGTTGTTCATCGATTTGCTCGAGCAGGCCCAGTAACGTTTCCATTGGAGACTTTGTTGTTACTGTGTTTGGCATATGGAATACATCACGGGTAGCTTGCCAGGCTCTGCCGTGCAGGTGAGATACTCTCAGTAGTTTGCCGGGCTCTCTGAGAGGGGTGGAGGAATCGAACTCGGGTCGGCCATGTTGGCTGCGTGCAAGGCAAACGCCTTACCGCTGTGCTATTGCTCCAGCCCGTGAATAAATCACTCCTGTACTAATATGTTAGATGGTCATGGGTCATCTAAACAGGGATTTTCTTGGTGGGCTTGATCTAATTACGTGAGCTCTTACAGGAGAAAGGCAGAGAGCTCTGAATCACAAGGAATCCATGGGCCACAGCTGGTTTGAAGAAGGAAAGGACACAGAAAATGTGTGCAGCCCGGAAGAGCTGACAGAGTTTGTGTCTGACAGCAAGGGACTGAATTCTGCCAACCTGAAAGAACCCAAAAGCAAATTCTTCCCCTGAGCCTCCCCAAAGGATTGCTACCCTGCTGACTCTTGTTTCTTGTGAGGACCCTGAGCTGAGAGTCCTGCCTCTCCAGGCTGGACTCATGAGTTTCAGAACCACCCAGGAGCTTCCTAAATAGATATTGTTGTTTGGTTTTGGGGCCACACCTGGCAGTGGTCAGGGTTTACTCCTGGCTCTGCACTCAGGATCACTCACTCCTGGTGGGGCTCAGGAGAACATTTAGGGCGCTGGGGATCAAACTTGATGCAAGGCAGGCGCCCTACCCATTACACTATTTCTTTTGGCCCCCTGAAACAGATATTATTCTATGATGCTAAATCTGGGGTAATTTGTTACACAGCATCAGAGAACTACACTGCTCAAGGGTAATTTTATTTAACCTAATTAGATTTGGCAGTTTTAGTTGGGTTCTAAGTGGGGCTTTTTCCCCCCTGAGCTCTATTAAAGTAATATTTTCCGCTGTGACAACTTATAAAAATCTAGTGATATAAATTACACACTGTTTTGTATTCACTATCAAACAAGTTTCTTTGATTCAAGTCTTGTTGCCTAATATACTGCTATCAGTCAGGTAACAACCCTGTGTATGAACAATCTATGGATGATGTTTAAAACTTTGAAAGTCACCCCTCCATTCATCAAGGGTGTCAGGTCCCTCCAGTTGAGGGTTCTTTCGCCTGGGAGAAGGCAGCACAGAGCTCTACATCAAACATCCAACAGGAATTTCTTCTGCATAACTGGGTTAGATTGGCACTAAGGTGATTAAGTACACTTGGGGGGGGGGGGGGGAGAATGTTGTTTTTTTTTTTTTTAAATAACACAGGTTTTTACAGGTAAATTAGTTTTAAAGGAATCCCCTCCAACTGTGGCAATGTGTGATTTATGTAGTCCTCTTCACCCTAGTTCTGTTATCCTGAGTCGATTCTTGGCATGGCTTTATTGCATCACAGCAGAAATAAGAAAAACAAGCTGCTGGTGCTTAGAACAGTTCAGCTGCTGTGGTAGCAATCTCACTAGATGTGAGATGTGAAAAGGAAGCCCTGCAAAATGTCTCCAGGATGGTGGCAGTTAGATTTTTGGTGTTGCTTTTGAAGTCTGTATTTAGTTTTCCAGATGCACATGCACTGGTTCTATGCAACAGACCTAGTGGCCACACAACTCTCCTCCCCACCCCCCGGCCAGTACTGGCTGCTCCAGGGACCCAGTCCACACCCGTGTGCGAGAACAGCACTCTGAATATTCAAAGGAAATACAACTTAGAAGAACCATATTCAGTGCCAGTGAGTTTTAAAAAAAAAATCCTTTTCCTCTCCTGTGAGATTCAAATATATAGCACAAAAGAACATGCTTAAAGAGGCACAAAAAAGTACCCAGCACCAAAACATGAACTAGAATATAATTGTTTTTCTACAACTGAAACTTCTGGGAGTATTTATTACAAAGTATCATAAAACATTAGGTCCTTAGAGACTGAACAGGTATAGTTAAGGCTGATTTATTCTTAACTTGCCCACTAGGCCTGAAGTGTCAGTAGACTACACGAAAACCACTTTCCTATCCTCTGGCACAACAAAAAAGTAAAGAATGAATAAGAACTCCAGAGCCACTGCTCTATACTCTGGGCTCCATCAGTCCTAATTTTGGGTGGTTTGTTTTTAAGAGCACATTATGTATAAAACTCCCTATAACTGGCACATAAACATTTGGCCACCTTTAATAATTCTCCTTCGTGGTTTTATACTTGGCAGCATATATGCTAAAATATGAAAGAAAATTTAAAAAAGAATCAGAAGAATCTATTTTCTAAGGAATATGTTAAATAGTTTATATCTAGTACAATACTGCAAAATACACTTAAAATTTCATGATTTCTTGATTCAAGAAAATGAAATTAATTTCCAGAGTTGGCTAATGAAGAATGAAGAATGTGGCATAAAAATATTTCTAGGAGACATCTGTATTTTAAATTCTTCACATATATAAAAGAACAACAATTAAGCATCTATTACTAAAATTCATATCTAATACTGAAGTAGAACAACAGACTGCATTAAGTTTCTTAAACTTTTAAGTTATCAGATATTTACAAATAAGATATGATTTATATCAAAAAGAGGGTGCATTTTCAACTGTATCTGCTGCTTTCACTGGGGCTCCGGTGATGAGAATAACTTCGGTCACTTTCACTGTCAGAGCCGTAAGATCTACAACTCCTATATAATAAGAAAACACGTAAAATATTAGGTCCTTAGAGATTGTATAGCATTCATAATTACAAATACACAAGAACCTTCTCAGCATTCAATTATTAATCCCTCACACTGTTCTTTTTTAAATCTGAGTGCCTTGAAAGTGCAGTACTTAGTTCAGTAGTGGATGAATGAGGTGCTGACTGGCAGTACTGTAGACTTTACAAAGATGTTTTAAGTGGAAAATGGTTCTAATATAAAGATTAAGATAAAATAAAGAAATATCACATCCTGGGATATTACTTTAAATCTACTCATGCAAATGAGTGGAATGATTCCTCAGGTTACCCAAAACAGATGTCAATAAATAACCTTGACTGAGGAAGCAATGGAAAAGGTGCAGAATGTTTTTTGTTTTATGACTACATCTGACTGTGCTCAGGGCTAATTCCTTCATCTCTGCTCAGGGGTCACATCTGGCGGTGCTCTGGGGAACCATAAGTGGTGCTGGGATCAAACCAGAGACAGTGGCATGCCAGGCGAGCAAGCACCTTACCTCCTGTACTATTTCTCTGGCCCAAAGTTTTATATTAAAAAAGTTTCATTACAGGGGCTGGAGTGATAGTACAGTGGGTAGGACATCTGCCTTGCATGCAGCCAACCCAGGTTTGATCCCCAGTATCCCATATGGTCCTCTAAGCACCGCCAGGAGTAATTCCTGAGTGCAGAGCCAGGAGGAACCCTGTGCATCACTGGGAGTGACTCAAAAACCCAAAAGTAAATAAATAAAAGTTTCATTACACATATGAAAATAAAAATTAATGAAGGTGGGCCCAATGAAAGGTTGATGCATGGGCAGTATCACTGGGGTGAGGTAAGGGGACCTGGTTACTGTCATCAATAACAAAAGTTCACCAACACAAATTTTTGGTATTTTTTTTTCAGTGGTGCCAAGAATTGAACCCAGGGCCTCATACATACAAGGCAATAGCTTTACTGCTGAGCCAGTCACTTTGTGACAAAACAAAAAACAAAAGCTAAAACAGACTTAGTTCAGCTCCGGGACTGTACATAAAATAAGTTAAGGATCATATGAGACTCCGATAAACAAAGGCTACCCTACAGATGCACAGCAACCCTAGGTCACCTCTCAGGGCTTCTAGAGGGGAAGGGTACAAAGAAATCTGACACTGCCTGGGAATTGGCCATTTCAAGAGGCAGGAGAGTTGAGATACTGTGTTCTAGCACATTTAAGGAGGACTGTGGGGAGTTCTGTTTTTGTTTTAGGGCCATGCCAAACTAGTGGCCAGGGTTTACTAACCTGACTCTGCACTCAGAGATCATGCCTGATGGTGCTCGGGGAACCATACAGAGTGCTGGGGATCGAACCTGGGTTGGCTGTGTGCAAGGCAAATGCCCAGCCTGTTGTTCTATCTCTCCGATCCCCTGACCAGTTTCAAAAAAGGAAGTACCTAGGTCACACCAGATCATGCTGACAGTCTATAACGATTTTCGTAACTGCAGTGGATGGGAGAAGTGTAACATAAAAAAGCACTAACCAGGAAAGGATGATAAAATACAAAGTCATGAAAAAGATTTTTGCAGTTCAAGGACCTAATGTGGTTTAGCAATAGAACATGTCTCATATGTGAAACGTTGGGATGGATCCCTAGCACTGCCAAAACAAAAAAAAAACCAAAACACCCCAAAACCTTTTAAGTTCTAGTCAACATATGTTTTATAAAATATGATGTTTACATTAAAGCATTCTTATTAAACTGTGAAGGTTTTTTGTAAACCTCAATTCCGCTGCTGTAATAAATTATTAGGGCATTTTATTATGCATTACCTCTTATTAAATAAAAAAATTGATAAACTGGCTTTTCTAGTTCTAGTAACTAGCCCCATTTACAGACCATTACGTGATTTAGGTAGCCTCACTTCATTCCAAAGAAATGTTTATCTACGGTTATGTGAATATATAAAAATCAATTTCAGAAAAATTGTAAATCTACAACTTTAAAAAAAATAAAATAAAATAAAGGGAAAAAAAAATCAATTTCAGAACCGGAGATACCTCAACGGGCTCAGTGCATACAAAGCTTGCTTTGTATGTGGAGGCTGAGGGTCGGTCTCTGGCACTGCCCAGTGCCCTTAGCACTGCCAGAGTGAATCTCAAGCACAGAGCTGGAAGCAGCTTCTACTCCTACAAAGGCCCAGCACTGCTGTGTGTGGCTCCCAAAACTCCACTGCAGAAACAAACATATTAATAACCAAACAACATTACCTGACAACTCTTATGATGAGCCACTATTAACAGCTATATGTTGGTTGCTAAAATTCAGGGAAGCATAAATATTTGTCTTCGGATTATGTTTTCTCCTCCCAAAATAGTCAATCACCATTCTGCCACGTACCCAAAGTAACTTACAGTGCTCCAAAACAGAAACTCACCTGGACCGCCTATTATAACTTCTTCCTCGGTGGTAACTGTCACTCCTCTGGCTTCTACTCCGACTCCGACTTCTGCTGTAGTAGCTATCGTAAGTGTAGGACCTGCTTTAACAGTAACAACACATACTAAATTTTCTTCTTTTTTGTTTTTGGGCTATATCTGGCTGAGAACAGAATTTACTCTTGGATCTGCACTTAGAAATCACTTTTGGAGGGGCTCAGGAGACCATATGGGGTGCTGAGTCACTCGGGTCAGCTCTACGCAAGGAAAGAGCCCTGCCCTCTGTGTTATCTCTCCATCCCCAGTACATAATAAAATTTCCCATAAATGTATTCCATTTCTTTCTAGAATCTTAGATATCGGTTCATTATTTATTTATTTTTCTGTTTGGGTTACACCTGGCGATGCAGAGGTTACTCCTGGCTTTGCACTCAGAATTACTCCTGGTGGTGCTCGGTGGACCATATGGGATGCTGGGAATCGAACCTCGGTTGGACACGTGCAAGGCAAATGCCCTACTCGCTGTACTACTGCTCCAGTCCCCGGATATCATCCGGTTTAGAACACAGTACAAGGATACACTAGCAAAACATTGCTTTTTGAAAACATTTAACAACTGTCCCAAATCAAACAGTAAAAGCTCATTTATTTTTTGCAACAAAAATATCATCACAAAATTTAAGACCAAGTTAGTTTTGATTAAATCTGCTAAAAGATTGTCCAGAGGCTAAGGTTACTTGACTTGCATGCAGCTGACCCTACTTCTATCACCAGCACTGAAAATAGTTCCCTAAGCACCATCTGGAGTGGAGAGCTAGCAAGAGCCCCTGAGCACTGACAAGGATATCACAACCCCACCTCCAAACATGGTGGCTTTACATGTTCACTTCAGCAGTACATATACTAAATCTTATGGTTTATTTTTTGGGGGTGAGGGGTCACATCAGCAGTGCTCAGGGCTTACTCTTGGCTCTGTGCTCTGAGATCACTCTTGGCAGGGCTTGAGGAACCATATGCAGTGCTGGGATCAAATCTGGGTCAGCTGTAAGTGCCCTATCCATTGTGCTATTGCTCCAGCCCCTAAGTCTTATGATTTTTAACAGGCAGTTGTATTCAAAAAACATCTGCATTACAATTTGATGCCAATGGTCACTTTTGACACTGACATGCAGTGGGTCAATAGGCAAATTTGTTAAAAGACCGCATATAGAAGGTATGCTTTGAAATAAATACATGCATTTAAGACACTCAATAAAAGGAGAACATAGATCTTTTTTAATGTGAACTAAGGGTCTTCTAAAACAAGGTCTTTCAATTCCGCCCCCACAGCTGGCCATACCTTGATCGACTGCGGACATCATATGAGCTGCTCCTTGATCTGCTCCTGCTGGATGTCCTAAAATTAATCATTAAGAGGGAACATCAGGGTAAGAGTGATAGTCCAGTGGGGAGGGCGTTTGCCTTGCAAGTGGCCGACCAAGGTTCGATCCCCAGCATCCCTTACGGTCCCCCACGCTGGGAGTAATTCCTGATTGCAGAGCCAGGGGTCACCCCTGTGCATTGCCAGGTGTGATCCAAAAAGACAAATCATTTCAAAACAAAAAGAGGGAACATCACATGGTCAGAGCAAAAGATGCCATATCAAAATCCAGAGACATTTATTTTCCCATCAATAAGAAAGCACAATAAAACCCAGCATCTTTACTCATTTTAGTCAGGAGGGATCCCTGAGTGTAGAGTCCTGAGCACTGCCACGTGTCCCCTCCAAAAATCCAAAAACCCAAACAAAAACAGAAAAATAGGAATTCAACAGCTCTTTGAAAGAGATGGAAAATCACATCAGTCTGATATTCATCAATAACAGGATTCTTCTCAACAGCTACCTTGCTCTACATGTACAAAGCTTGAAAAGCAGGAAGGACAGAATAGGGCAGGAGTCACAAACTCACCTATGACTTTTGTAACTGCGGTAGGAGCTGCTCCGGCTTCTGGTGCGGCCTCTACTGTACCATCCTCTGCTCCGACTCCTGGAGTAGCTTCTGGATCTATGATTAATAGAGTAAATATCGAATTATATTCACTCACTGTGAAGTTAAAATCAAGTGCTAGTGAGGGACACTGAAAACACAAGAAGGCTTGGAAGAGTTTTGTGGAATTCTCACGGTGCACAACAGTGACAGCTTATGAAGCTTTAAATCGAACAGAATGGAATAAAGAACCAGAAAAAGCTGGTACAGGTACAATGATAAGGAGTCCTGTTAGTAATAACACGGGAAAATCATCTCCTTGTCCATTTACAGTAGAGTGAATTTTATAAAAATTAAAGCAGGGGGGCTGGAGTGATAGCACAGCGGGTAGGGCATTTGCCTTGCATGCAGCTGACCTGGGTTCCATTCCCAGCATCCCTATGGTCCCCTGAGCACCACCAGGAGTAATTCCTGAGTGCAGAGCCAGGAGTAACCCCTGAACATCGCCAGGTATGACCCAAAAATCAAAAAACACAAAACAAAAACAAAATTTAAGCAGGGACCCACAAATGGCTCAGTGGTAGCACTTGCCTCCCTTCTATGCCAAAGGCAGCAAGTTCAATTCTTAAACAAGTGCATGACTTCTGGTACACCACAAACAATTGTGTGATTCCTGGCGAGGACCCCAACTGGCGTGCAGCCCCTGCAGCACCAATAAATGTATAAGCACTACAACCATGACAGAAACAAGGGGAAGACACAGGAAATGTTAAAAGCATAGACCCATACTGAAATATTCTAAAGCAGGAGAGGCAGTACAGAGATTAAGGCCCCTGCACTGCATGTAACCAGCTTTGTTGGTCCTTAGCATCACATTTGGAATCAGCACCACTGGGTGTGGGCTGAATCTGCCCTCTCCCCTAAATTCAAAGTAGGAAAATGAATAAACTACAGAAGTATATCTTTGGAACATAAAATGTAGAACAGTTATAGAGATATAAATATTTATCAGATCTAGAGCTATATGTAGGAGCTATATAAACTCATATATGTTTATAGATAGGGACTTCAGACAATGCAACATTATTATTTTTGGTCACACCTGGCTATGCTTAGGGCTTACTTCTGGTTCTGTACTCAGGAATTACTACTGGCAGGTTTGGGAGACAATATGGGGCACCAGCATTTGAAGCTGGATCAGTCGTGTACAAGGCAAACGCTTCTCTTCTATACTATCACTTTAGAGGCAAAACATGTAACTTTAAGTGAAGAGTGAAGAACTATTCTCCTAAAAGATGCCAAGCCAAGGGGCAATGAAACCCACGGGTACACCGATCTTGTATGGGAGGAGGGTAGGCAGAGTCCTCGCCCTGCTGCAGCCCCAACCCCCACCATATAAACGGTCCAACTTCACTGCTTCATAACTAATCTCTGAAGAGACGTGAGCTGAGGTAACACACTCAGGTACACAGGTTTCCAGGATGAAAATTTTGGGGTCTTCTCAGAGTGGGGAGACACCCATACCACCCCTCCTCCTGTACTGCAAGAAGCCACATTCAACATCCCACAGCCTCCAGCAGGTAAAAAGCCCAACTTCATAATTAACCTCAGAAGAGACACAAAACTGGTAAGTCAGAGGTTCAACAGTCTTTAGGCTGAAACTAGGAGTGGGGCAAGCTGAGAATCACCCCAGTTCTAGAGATTCTGGAGCTCCTGGAGTACCTGGCTACATATGTGGCCATACAACACCTCCCAATTCCTCAATATGATAGCCAAGTAGAAGCATACCAAATTAGATGGTGAAGAAGCCAACTACGCTCAATAAGCAAAGAACAAAAACAAACCACACACAGAAGGCTCAACTAGCAACAGACAGCTCAGTAAATCCTCAATGATTTTACTAACTCCATTTTGAGATATAAGAATTTACAAAAATTTTCACTGAAAAAAATTTTTTTTTTTTGCTTTTTGGGTGACACTTGGTGATGCACAGGGGTTACTCCTGGCTCTTCACTCAGGAATTACTCCTGGTGGTGCTCAGGGGACCATATAGGATGCTGGGAACAGAACTTGGGTCGGCTGCGTACAAGGCAAACGCCCTACCCGCTGTGCTATCACTCTAGCCCCATTGAAATATTTTTTGTTAATTTCACTTATCATTTTGTTCTAACAAAAAATATAAATCATTTTGTGCCTGTCAAGGGGGCAGGCTTGGGGTGTGAGGGTGAAATGGGTGACAATGGTGGTGGAATTTGTTTTGCAACACTGAATGTCCAAATAGCCATATTATGAACAACGTTGTACACCACAGTGTTAAATAAAATTTAAAAATAAGTAAAAGTGAAGAAGAATGCTAAATCTACCATAGCTAAAGCAGGGTTGTATCGGGTAGGCTATCAGGTACAACAAAGCTCTGCTGTGTTGTCTATATGGATTTTATCACATAGTAACTTTATTTATTTTGGTTTTAGGGTCAAACCCAGAGGGGCTCAGGAACATTCCTGGCAGTTTTTAGGGAGACCATATGGGTTGCCAGGGATCGCATCTGGGTTGGTCTCAGGCAAGTCAAGCATCCTACCTGCTATACTATTGCTCTGAGCCCCATAATAACTTTACCTTAATTTTTATCCCTTACCTCCTACCTTCTTCTTTCACTTCGATATTGTTGTGATGATCAGGGTCAGTCACAGACACACACAGCTGGCTATGTAAGAAGGCTGCTCGTCAAGCTAGATTATAGCTATACAAGCTCTCTATTTGTGGGGTGGGTGAGGGGGTCTCCCAAGCAATGTTTAAGGGAAGTTCAGAGGTGACTTCCAGTGACACATGGCCAATGTGTCTGGACAGTTCCATGACAGGGCCTAAAGATGACAGTGCTGCTCAAGCCCCGGGGTTCAGAGAACACCAGGATCACCAGAAAAACACCACATCCTGGCCCCTGGGCTATCTCTTATCCCCTTTGCTTTATTTAATAACGTTTTATTTTTATAACTAGTATTTTTTTTTCGGTCACACCCAGCAATGCTCAGGGGTTACTCCTGGCTTTGCACTCAGGAATTGCACCTGACAGTGCTCAGGGGACCATATGGGATGCCGGGGATCGAATCCAGGTCAGCTGCATGCAAGGCAAATGCCCTACCCACAGTGTTATCAGGCCCTTATAACTAGTATTTAATGAAACATAATTTCTGACCCTTTGAGTTCACTTGGTTCTTCACCTTTCTCCCCGAACTTTAAATCTGTATAAAGAATTTTTTAAAAAAATCACTCTAATTTATTTATATAATCTCTCTCTAGGTTGTATTCAGTATGGAGTCAACAGTTCAGAAGACAATATCTACTTCCAGTTTATCTATAAGACAGCAAGTATATTCTAGTAAGACTGCAGTTATTTACTGAAAATTCAACTGTAGAGTAGAACCTTTGAGGTAATCGATGAATGAGTAAGACCCCGTCCCTGACTTCAGAGAGTTCTTAGTGTATCAAGTGGGGATGTTAAGGTTCAGGCATGTAACCACAACCGGGAGGCAGAGGTAATCAATCACCTCAGTACCCTATCTTAAAGTCAATTCCTTCCTTACTTTTTACTGCACACTCTTCATTTATAGGAAGCAGGTAGAAATGGAAATGAGAAGGCATAACTAACAGATGGTGAGCATGCAGGATTGCTCAGAAATGGGGGGGAAGGGAGAGGAAGAGGAGGAGAAGAAGCTAGAGAAGGAGGGCCGTGGCAGTAGAGGGGAGGAGGAGGGTGGCAGTCAGGGAAAGGAGAAGGAAGAATGGCAGAATGAGCAGCATAACCATGAAATGGTTACAACGAAAAACGAAGTACACAAATTACTTATAAAATTCTTTTTCTGAAAAGGGAGGGCATCCCTGGCAGTGTGCAGGTCTTATTCCTGGTTGTGCTCAGGGGTCACTCTGGCAGGCCCCAGGGACCATCTCTGGTGCTGGGGCTCCAATCTTGCCTGGCCACTGCAAATTGAGTGTTGTACTATTTCTCTGGCCCCACTTACTGTCTGCCACCAATATGTTACTTAAAAAAAAAATTCCTTTTCTCTGCAACAACCTAGTCTACTCTTATAAAAGTTAGATGCAATTTGAAAAACAAAACTTCTAAAAATGATCGTATTCTACCGTTTTTTGAAACGGGGTGGGGGTGGGGTGAATTGGGGAATGCCCTATCTGGCAGTGCTCAAGGTTAACCACAGCTGTCTGCTTAAGGTATGATATGGGATGCAGGGGAATCAAACCTGGGTCGGCTGTGTGCAAGGCAAGTGTCCTACCTGCTGTACTATCACTCTGGTCCATCTTTCAACTGAATGAGTATCAATCAGACATATGTCTTGAACCTCTGTGACCTTCACCTTCAAAAAGGGAGGGTTAAGGTTTTACCTGAAACCCCTCTTCACTGTGTAAACTCAGGATTCTCTTCTAAGGAAATAGGTAACAGGCAGAAGAGCAGCCTCACACCTTTAAGAATAAATTTGACATCTATGGCAACTGATTGATTCCTACTGCCAGAGAATGGAAATCAATAGAAACAGTTTTTCTGCACTGAGCCCGAATTTCTTCCCCAGAAATTGCCACTCCCCATGTCCTCAATTGGCTCTCTGAGTCAGAAAGCATGCGACTTCTGACTCCCCTTCCGGTTGTTTGGAAATAGTGATCTGATCCCTAACTGATTATTCCAGGCTAAACAATAACAATCTCCTGCAGGGTAGGGAGTGGGGGTGGGGTGGGGGTGAGGCGGGGGGGGGGGGGGGGGAGAAAAATCACTGCTCACCGGTAAGATGATGTGGAACTTCGAGATCGACTCCTGGAGGGACTATAGGAGACAGATCTTGTTCTGTGTCTTGATTTGGTTTCAGATTTACTTCGAGACCTGCTTGGACTCCGGGACTGGCTATCACCATCCCGACTAGGCGTCTGCTCATCACTTGAACTCTCCTGATTTCTTGGTCTTCGGTTTAAACGTGCTGTCTTTCTTACTTCATCAAACAGAGAGCCAGGGCGAACTTTATTTTTGCTTTTAATTTCTATCCTCAAGCCCTGCGGTTTCAATTCAGATGTAGTAGTCAGTGTCTTTACTTCCACAGTGCTAAACGCTGTGGCAGCTGGGGTCACCAAGTTCCCCACCCCCTGTAGGGGCTTCCATTTGTTATCCATGAGGCTGACCTGACTCTTCTCAGCCCCCTCCTTGTTCACAGTGCTCTCTCCAGCACTGGACAAGCTGACAGAGCTATTGTCCTGTTTTCCCACTTCAACTGCCGTTATGTTTTCAGACATGCTGCTCTCCTGTACTATCTGCCCTGCATCAGGATGCTCTGTTTGTACATCCTGCTTTAGAACAATGCTTACATCTGTGGTGTCAGGTCTTGAATTTCCAAGAGGGAAAGCTCCCTCTACCTTTGCCGGGGAACTCCTGTCAGGAGTACAAATTTCCATGTTGTCATCTGTTTGAAGCACATCCTCCACTCCATTAGGGGCATCTTCTTCAATGTGCTGAGTGTTTGGGGTACAAATGGTGACACTTTCCTCAGCTGTGGAAGAAATGCTGGGTTTACAATCACCTTTCACAGGCTGTTCAGTATCTGATGAAATAGCTACTGCACTGTGTTTATCTGAAAGGTTGCTGTCTTCGCATGGAGACTCTGCTTTTGAAATGTTTTCTTTTATAGTTTCGCTGTTTTCAGAAACATGTTTTTTCTCTTTTGATTGGTGAGTAACTTGCTTTTCATCAATTTCCTCCTCTTCTTCTTCACCAAATTCTAGTGGAGGCTGCCAATGAAATGTCTGTTTTCTTTTTGGAGCCTTATGCCTTTTGTCTTTTTTCCCTTTGAACTTATCTTTCATTTTTTTGATGTGTTCCCTTTTAGGATTTTCCTTTGACCCATGCTTGTGCCTCCGTGGTTTTCCTACCCTGTTTTCTGAATTGGAATAGGACCCATCAGAATCAGAAGTTGAAGACTGCTGTTTGCTTGACTTCCAAGCATAATTACCATCAGACAATGACACATTTGCTGAAGACTTTGTTGTGGGCTTAGTTTTGATGCGAATTTCAAGAAACTCTGACTCGGAATCTGATGTAGCTTCACCTTCTTCCTTGTCAGAAGATGGTCGGGAATTATTTTTACTGTTCTTAGTAAAATCTCGTTCTGAATTTGATTCAGAGTCCCATTTACTCCCAGCGTAATTCTTCTTTTTGGTCTTACTGCCATTTCTAAAGTGATCCGAAAGATTCTCTCTTATACTTCTTTTTTTTGAATGAGGATGTTGCCTTTCAGACTTGCATTTCTCTTCATTCCTCTTTTTCTCTTGTTTATTTTTCATTTCCATTTGGATATGCTTCTCTTTTTTGTGGGCTGACTGAACAGCTGGCTGTTCACTGTCTGAAGAATAATCTAAAGATGATCTGCTCTCACTATACTTTCTTTGACCCGAAGACTTATCTCTGCCTCTGTATTTTCTGTTAAGTGTCCTCTCAGAGCTACTGCTGTGCTTTTTATTTGAAATGCTATTTTTTTTCCCACTGGATCTAAACTTTCTTTTGGCTCGTCTTCTATCATCACTGCTGTCAGAAGAGTATGAAGATGATCCACTACACTGTGAATGATTGCTGTATTTATTTCGTGAATGAGATCTGGATGAGGGTGATCTAGACCTCGAATGGGAACTAGCCAGACTTCGAGCCCTTCTGTAAGATCTAAAGTAAGATCTATTCCTAGAAGATCTGCTTCTTGATCTTCCTGAACTTTCTGAACTTCTATCACTGTATTTTGAATAAGCACTTCGATCACTCTCTGAATTTTTTTCCCTTTTATGGTAGGATGATAAGCTACTAGTCTCTTTAATATTTGCTAAGCTATAATTGCTTTGAATGGGCAACAAATGGGTTGTTTTAGCTTTCATCTCCTGGATTCGCTCATAAGAGGGTTTCCAGGGCTTCTGTCCGGGCTTCCACCTTGAAGGAGGGGGACTGTCACTCAGTGGTATTACAGGAATATTTTCTGCCACCACTGGTTGTGCTATGGCATTTTCATTTTGTGGCACTGTTGCTCTTAAAGGTTCTGTTTTAACTGGTTTATTTTCACTTAACTGAGAGGTTGTTCTTTTTGGCGATTTTGATGCTGTCCTTTGGCGCCCTGACTTGGAACTTGATCTGGATTTTGATCTACTTCGAGAATGTGATGGAGATTTTGAGGGAGTCCTTGATCTTGAACTCCCTCTAGAATAAGACTGTGAGTGAGATTTTGATCTACAGGATTCTCTGCTGGAATGGGTTGAAGAGCTCTGGTCATCCTTATCAGATTTAGACCAGTCCCTCTTAGATGAGTGATGAGAAGATAATGAGGAAGAACAAGATCTCCTTCCCCTATCACAAGAGGATTTCATTCGTCGGGTGGATGATTTTGAGGATACTATGTTGGAGGGTACAACAATCCTTCTCTTTTTAGTCTGTTTGTGTCTTCTGCAATGTTTTTGCTTTTTAGCTTTCTTTTTATGTTTAACCTTTTTATCTTTTCTGCGTTTTTTATGGTGACCATCAGAATGTCTTGTTGTACTAAGATCAGAATAATATCCATTATAGGACCATGATCTGGATCTCTGGGACAAACTTCTTTCATCCCAGCGGCTTGAACAGGGGTCACTTAATCTAGAGAGAAGAATGTACTATGTAGTTATTTATACACATGTTTCAATGCCTTAAAAATACAATATATTTGTTATCAATACAAAGATACTGAAAAAATCTAGTTACAAGAAAAGTACTAACTCTACCAGCACTACGAAGCCTCTGTAATAAGGATAAATGAAAGAGTAAAGGGCCTGGTCTTGACCTTTTCTTTTTAAGAAGAGACACTGACAGCTACATAATTACTCACAATCGGTAAGCAAGTAATTCCAAATGACAGAAAAATGGTTCTGAGAATCAAACCAACTATAACAAGTAGATAACAGTATCCCTATTTCCAAGAAGAATTTTTGAGAGTTATGTCAAATCCATAAACAATTCTGTTGATTCTATGCAGATAAAGACCAGCCAACTCAACTTTAAAAGAAGCCTCTTTTTCTTATTACTTAGCATGACTACCATTTTAACCTCAGTCTCACTGAGGTAATCATGACTTCTTCCCTAAAGTTCGGTAAAATTACTGATTATGGAAACTGAGAATAAAGTTCACTCAGGCTTTAAAATCTCATGACTCAAATTTGAGAATTTTCTGTATCACTATGGATAAACCACTTTCATTAGGCAAATGCACCCTTTTCCCTCCCTTATCCAATTTCAAACCTTTCTGCTGGACACTCAGAGAGGAAAAAAAGAACTCAACCATAAGTAATTTTACAGGATCCCACTGGTATATTTTCCCCTAGCTCATCTGAAGCCAGCCACATTTCTAAAAGCCATTACACTCTGAAGCGTCACTAGGGAATGAAATGAGACTTCTGAAGCAGGACCTGCCTGGAGTCAGGTATTAAACAATGAGAGCAAGGGATAAAGCCCAATGGCAGGGCACAAGTCGTCATGTACGTGACACCTTGGGTTTGATTCCCAGTAACTCCCCAATTACTCCCTTCCCTAATTGTGAAGAAAAAAAAAAGTCACTTTTTTTTCTTAAATATTTTTTTCTTACTTATCTCCTTTACTCCACTTTTCTCCACTGGGTGGTCTATATGCTCTTAATCTCTGCATTTCCTCTTTCCAGTGAGGAGGAGTCTCACTGCTATCATCATCATCTGATTCAGAACAAGATCTTGATCTTGGAGGTGTGTGATAACGCTTTAAAAACAAAGATAGAAATAAGTATTTTAAAAGACTTCTCATTATGGCCTACTATAGGACAGTTCGATACAAAACCCAACCTCAGGCCCCACTCAAAAACAATAATGAGGTACATAGGAAAGGTATGAAGTAGTTTTTAACATACAAGACTAAAAGATAGGGGAATGTTTGAGATTCATCTATAATTAGACATGAGTTTCCTCTTTGAATCCTAATGGCTACATTCATTAATCTACATTATTCACCATATTAGTATTTCTCAACAGGTAAGACAGTACAGAGATTATTGAGGCACTTGCCTTGCATGTGGGCTGGCCCTGGTTTGATTCCCAGCACTGCATATGGTTCCCAAGCACCACCAGGAGTGACCCCTGAGCACAGAGTCAGGAGTAGCCCCTGAGCACCACCACCAGATGTGGCTCACATCCCCCTGGTCCCCAAAAAGATTTTTCAATAAACTCAAGTCCATTTCATCCTTAATCCACTTCAAACATAGCAGTAAACTTTTATCTTTCCATAACTCTGGCGAATACAACTAGAACCTTAAATGAAGTTTGGATTATACCTAAGATTAAAGTTAAGGTTTTGCTTATACATTAAAAAGGATGTGGCTTACAGGTTAAAAAAAATTTCAGTTTAGATGAGCAATTTAAATTAAGGATACTCTTGGACTGGGAGGTAGTACAGAGGTTTGGGTACATTCCTAGCAGCATTAGCTGCAGCCCTGAAGGCCTCCAGTACCTCTGAGGTGGCTTGGGTAACCCTGGCACATAGAACCGAGTGTTAAACTGCTGGCCAGCTGGCTGAGAACCACTGGTGGCACCCCTGCGCCTCTTGAGCACCGCTTAGGATGTCCCTCAAAATGGAAAGTCTTACATACAATTGTACCCCTTCCTTTGATCTTCCGTCCGGACTTTGATACAGATGGTTTTTGATCATTTGCAATAGGTATAGCATCAGGAATCTTCCTAGGGGGAAGAGGGAAAAAAGAAAAAAAAGCAAGTGATAGGCAATTTTCTTAATGTATAAATGCAGAATTTGTGTCCCTATAATACAAAAGAATCTAAATATCATACTTTTACTAAATGAGACACTCACATAAACTAGTAAATCCTTTAAATGCCAAAACTTGGAGGGAAAAACATAACCCATCTGGGTAGAAATACAAAATTCTAGTATTAAGTATCTAGCAGAATTTTTAATAAAATTGTTTGTTTGGCTCTTGTCTATGGTGATATGCCAAAGAAATTCTTATGTATTCCTGAATCTAATGCATAATCGCAATTTTAAAAAATGTTCGGTTTGGAAGCTGAGGATACAGTTCGAGAAGGCAGAGCACATGCTTACTCACGGGGATCCTGGCACAGTATTTTCCCCACTTTAATTTTATATACTTTGTCTTCCTCATTATACTATAAGGAACACCTCCTTTGGTGCTCTAAAACTGCTCTTTTTATGGGCAATGCTAAGTGTATCACTTTTGTGATAGATACAGTCTTACAGGAGATCTTTTGTTACCTCAGTTTATTTTGTACATGTTATTAACTGAGACTAGCTTTTGTTGAGTTCTTACTACTCTGCCATATATTCTGTTAACAAAAATACTTACATACTATTTTTCAAAAATAAAGTTAAATAAAAATTGGCCTTAAAAAATATACAACCCAGTCACGCCTGGCAGTAGTCAGGGATCAAACCTGACATGAAAATCTAGCTCCTTAAGCTATCTTGAGTTCAGAACTCACTTTTTTTTCCAGAATACAACTCACTAGCATTATACTCACAGAAGTGTGCAACCACCATTATTACTATCTTTTCAAAACTTTATCATTCCAAACCAGAATTCTATTACGGTTAACTCTCCCATCATCTTACATTCCCAAAGCCTTTGGAAAACTAACTTATGGCTGAACAACCTTCCATTCTATGTCTACAACATCATTCATCTATTAACATTAGAATTATTTCTACCTTTTTACTACTATTAATCATGCTGCAAGGAACACTGATGTACAAATACTATTTGAGTTTCTACTTTCAGTTCCTTTGAATACACAGCTTGGAGCTGAATCGCTGGGTTACACAGCAAACCTATGTTCAACATTCTGAAGAATCACCAAACTGTTTTCTGTAATAGTTACAGAGTTTTCACATATCAGCAATGCCTAAAGATTCCAATTTCTCCACATCCTCATCCACATTATTTTTTTGACTTATTGTAGGTGATAAGAATCTCACTGGAGTTTTTGTTTTCATTTCCCTAATAATTAATGATGTTAACCATTTTCCACTCATGTACTTAATAATCATTTGTGTATCTTCCTCAGAGAACAGAGTCCTTTGCTTCAACTTTTGAACTGTCTATTGTTATTACTTGTGTTCTTGGTGTCAATATAAGAATTCATGACTAGGGGCTAAGGAAATAGTGCAAGAGTTATTGGTGCTTGCCTTGCATACAGCTGACCCTGGGTGAATCCCCAGCACCCCATATATTCCCTAAGCACTGAAGGAGTGATCCCTAAGTACAGAGTCTGGAGTAAGCTCTGAGTTACAGCTGAGTATGACCCAACCCCAGGTCCACCAAAAAAAATTTCACGGCCAGGAAAGAGGATCAAGAAGTGCACATGCTTAGCAGTGTTCTGAAAGGCTTACTGTGGCATGACCCCATTGCACTGCTAAAAGTGGTCCCTATTTAGAAAATTAAAAAAACTAAATTTTGTATGTGATACATAGGAAATAGGTTGGTTTTGTTTTTTAAATACCCAGCAATGCAAAAGGTTTACTCTTGGCTCTCTGCTCAGGGATCACTACTGGCCCTACACGGAAGACCATATGCTATGCTGGGGATTGGGCAGGGGCAGTTGTATGGAAGCCATGCAAAGCATGTGCTCCATACCTTTATCTCCCTAGCCCAACATTTCATAGTAATACACACACACACACACACACACACACACACTTTTTTTTTTTTTTTTGCTTTTTTGGGTCACACCCAGCAATGCACAAGGGTTACTCCTGGCTCTACACTCAGGAATTACCCCTGGCGGCACTCAAGGGACCATATTGGATGCTGGGAATCGAACCTGGGTCCACCACGTGCAAGGCAAAAGCCCTACCCGCTGTGCTATCGCTCCAGCCCCAGTAATATATTTTTTAAATTAAGACAATACCAGGTTTTAAGAAGAACATTTGATGAATTAAAAGATAATCTTATGAAGAGACCCAATTTGAACATTTCCATAAACTCTCGTCTGGAAAATCTCCTCACAGGAAATTTAACAATTACACCGATCATATTTCTGTTCATACAATATGTCTTTTAATAATTTTAAAATTTATCCAGTATGCACCAGACAATAGGTAGTTTATTTATGCCAAACTTAAAATGCCATATTAGCTTTTCCAATGTAGAGAGGGTATTGCTAAGTAAGTTAACAAAAGTTACTTCTTTTTGTTTTTTTGGTGTTTAGGCCACACCTCAGGGGTTATTCCTGGCTCCACACTTAGAATTTATTCTATGCAGTGCTCGGGGAACCACATGGGATACTGGGGATCAAACCTGAGTTGACTGTGTGCAAGGCATGCACCCTACCTACTATACTATCGCTCCAAATACAACATATTTATGATACCAAATTAAACTCCCAGACACCATGAAACTAACTATGCAATAATCACATCAGAAATGTTTTATCATTTGATTGGTCTCCTCTTATGTTTCTTTTTTTACTTTTCTTGTATTTAACTTTCTAAAGATGAATCTGAAGAGGATGAGGAATCAGACGAGGAACTCAAGTCTTCTAAATGTTCTGACATCCCAAATCTCACTATTTAATGAAATAAATTTTATCTTTCCAGAACTCCCATAAAAATGTTTCCCCTGACCAACCTGCCTAAGCCCCTTTCCCTACTTACAGAATATAAATTCTGAAAAGATAGGGTACATGCCATTCTTGAATGTATTTCCAAAAGTATCTTTGAAAGTAGTCGTAAGGCCATCCTCAACAAGTGTGAAACAGCTGTGAGTTGCCAGAATCATCATTCAATGGTAAAACATGTAACTCAATCATCTTACTTACGGTTCAGGCTCCACTGTGACATGAGGCATGTCTCTCCTCAGTAAAAATCGGTTCTCAGGCACTGGAGGAATCTCTTCTGGGCGAACTACAGGCTTTTCCCGTTTAGCATTTGAATCAACTAACTTTTTTTCATTGGTATCACTCCTTTCAGAATGACACGAGAATAAACCAAATAACCAATTATAATTTGTAATGTCTGCATTTCATAATGAAAAGCACATAAAATTATACATTAAAATAGTAATAAAACAGGATGGGAGACTAATACCCAATGACAGTAGAGGTAAGGATCAGAAGAGTTGCTCCATGGCTTGGGAGCTGGCCTCACATGCTGGGAGGAGCTGGCCTCACATGCTGGGAGAAAAGTCAGCTCAGATAGAGAAGGGACCACCAAATAAAGGATGCTTGGAGGACCTGCTTGGGATAGGAAAGGTGTTCTGAAAGTAGACTAGAGACCGGACATGCACTGTAGCACTGTCCTCCTGTTGTTCATCGATTTGCTCGAGCGGGCACCAGAAATGTCTCCACAGTGAGACTTGTTGTTCCTGTTTTTGGCATATTGAATACACCATGGGGAGCTTGCCAGGCTCTGCCGTGCGGGCGGATAACTCTCGGTAGCTTGCCAGGCTCTCCGAGAGGGACAGAGGAATCAAACCCCGGTCCGCCACATGCAAGACAAAACAGACCGAACATGATGGCCACTTAATATCTGCATTGCAGACCACAACACCCTAAAGGGGAGAGAGTAAAAGAGAATGTGCCTGCCACGGAGGCGGTGTGGGTGGTGGGTAGTGGGAGGGATACTGGGAATGTTGGTGGTGGAGAATGGGCATTGGTGGAGGGATGGTTTCTGGATCATTGTATGACTGAAACATGGAATCATGGAAGTCTGGAAGTCTGTAATTGTACCTCATGGTGATTAAAAAAAAAGTAACAAAATAGGGGGTTCAGGACAGAGAATATGCCTTGCATGTGTAAAGCTCTGGGTTCAATCCCTGGTTCCTCTTTAAAAACAAAAAATTACTGGGCCTAGAGAGATAGTATAGTGGGTAGGGCACTTCCTTACACAAGGTCAACATGGGTTCAATTCCTGGCACTCATATAACCTCCCAAACACTGCAGGGTATGATTCCTGACCTCAGAGCCACTCCGCCCTGACTGCCTCCAGGTGTGGCTCCCTACCCCTGTCCCCATCAAATTTTGGATAACTTACAAATCTCACTTTAAAGTTTATAGAATTTTCTCAAAATATTGATAGTTGTAAGTAAAATAAAATCATGAAATAAAACTCCAGTATAAAAATAGTCAAATGAGTCTACATTTTAATCTTTTAAGAATTTCACGTACTGAGCTGGAGCACTAGCATAGCGGGTAGGGCGTTTGCCTTGCATGCAGCTGACCTGGGTTCGATCCCAAGCATCCAGTATGGTCCCCTGAGCACCACCAGGGGGTAATTCCTGAGTGCAGAGCCAGGAGTAACCCCTGTGCATTGCCGGGTATGACGCAAAAAAAAAAAAAAAAGAATTTCACGTACTATTTTTACCTGAAAACACACAAATCTGATGTGGTTGTATTGTCCCTATAATATTTGCCAGATTAAATTCCCAAAAATACTTCCATTTTCAAAAATGGGTTGTAAAACTGGGTTTATACATACTATCCTCATTCCCACATGTTAATTTTCAGGGATCACATTGGTCAGTATTGAGTGGTTGCTGGGAAGTTAGTGTCCAGGAGGACCACGTGGTACCAGGGATCAAACCTGAGCCTCTTACCTACAAACCATGTGCTCAGCCCTTTAGACTACTTTTCTGGAGTTTGTTTGGTTTGGGGGCCACATAGGCAGTGCTTGGTGGCTACTTCTGGCTCTGTGTTCAGGGAACACTCCTGGAGATGCGTGGGATGGGGTCAGCGCATGCACGGCAAGTGCCTTTACCCTATGCTAACTCTCTCGCCCCCCCAGTGTTTTTTAAGTATACAATTATGCAGGAATTCTATATTTACCCTTTTGGGCTCGTTGTATGTTTATTCCTTAGCTCCTCTGAACTGCTTGCTTCCTTTCGTCTCTTTTTAGAATATTTAACTTTTGGTCTCCTCTTGTGTTTCCTTTTTCTGCTTCTCTCGTGCTCAATTTCACTTTCTGAAGATGATTCCAAAGAGGATGAAGAGTCAGAAGAGGAGTCCAAGTCTTCTGAATGAGTTGGTTTCTTCCTTTTCTTCTCAAAAACTTTTAATAAATATGAGCAAAATTATTGGTACTATATTTCAGTGAATACCTTTCCAAGTTAAATAAATGGTTGTAAAACATGTTTTATGTATAACTAATTAAAAACAATGTAAATATGCCTTTTTTCAAGTGATAATGTAATTTTCTAGAGACAGTGGTAACAAAACCCTTTCCCTCATAAAGTCTATATTACAGCTGGATTAGTAAGAAAAATAAGCAGTACATGCATAAAATGACAGTGATAAGTACTAAAACAAAAAGAAAATAAGGTAGTGTAAAGGGAAGAAGAGGGAGGAGCTAGAGTTAGTTTAAGTCAAACTGAGATCTGAAGGAAGCGTGCCATAGAGAAATGTGAATAAAGAGCGAGCTAGACAGAAGGAACTGCCAACGCAAAGTCTTGAGTGTTTGATATGTCTGAGTAAAGGTTACATGGCCAAATAATGAGGAATGATGAGGTCAGAAAAAACATAGAAAGCCAGAATTCCTTGTACACTACTGAAAAGATTTCAGCATTCCCTGACTTAGAAGGGAGCATTAGGACTAGAGATATTCAAAGGGCTAGAATACATGCTTTGTATTAGATCCATGGGTTAGATACCTGGCACCTTAACCCAGGTACTGCATACCCCTAAAGAACCACTGGAATAGTTTCCTGAGTGTCCATGAGAAGACAGCACTTGGGCCAGAGACAGTACAGGAGGTAAAGTTCTTGTCTTGCATGCAATGATGTGGGTTCAGTCCAGCACCATATATGGTACTATGAGCACCACCGGGGGTCATTCCTGAGGATAAAGTTAGTAATTGTCCCAACATCACAGGATATGGCCCAAACCCCCCAACAATAGAAAAAGCAGCCACCCTTGAAGATCACTCTGGTTCCTGTGAAGGAGACTGTTAATGTGTAAGCAAAGAAATCAATTAGGAGGCAATAAGTATTAAGAAAAGTTAATAAAGGAGCAAGGACAGAGTCAAAGTGAATAGTTTTGAGGCTACTGTTATAATCCAGAGAAGAGATACTTAATTTGGACAAATTAAGAAAAAAAAAATTAAAGTTTGGTAAGATTTGCTGATAGAATGGATACAACGTACGATACAAAAGCAGTGGTTTTCAGCCACTGAACTGCACACTAGTGGCAGTCCACAGAAATTTCTTGCCAGTCTGCAAAAAGTTCTTGCTGCTGGGCCAAAAGATAGTATACAGCAGGCAAGGCGCTAGTCTTGCAAGTACCTGACCTGAGTTCAATCCCTGGCATCCCATATCAGTTGCCTAATTTCCTCTACCACGCAAAAACTCTTACCATCTTTTGTTGATTTTGTGGCAAGTACTCCACAGTCGATAACTCTCACATCTGCATATGGTCTACTTGCAGCATCAGTTTTCAGATTTTCAATTTGTTCAATTACTTCAAAACCAGAAATAACTAGTCCAAAGACAACATGGACCCTGTCATAATACAAATTCAAGAAAGAATTGGCTTGCTTATAGGTGGCGAGCAATAATTAAAACAAATGTTATAAAAAACACATCGACAGACATGAGAAAAAGGCAGTGCTTGATGTGTGAAGCAACTAAAAGGGAAGTAGAACTGGTAATCTGCTTTATAAAACAAAAGACAAAAATATCTCAAACTGGGCCTCAGTTTGCTGTCTTTAAAATTGCAATCTGAAAACAGTTTACTGCAGAGTCAGCAACATGGTACTAAATACTCAAAAAATCATCCTTATAGGGTGGGTCACTCAAAACTGAACAGTTAAGAAGCCCATTGATGGGGTCAGAGAGATAGTAGGTAGAGCACTTGCTCTGCACACAGCCAAGTTGGGTTCGATCACCTGCACCATCATATGGTTCCCCAAATCCCACACAGATTTACGAGTAAGCCCTGATGACCAATGCATGTGGCCCCCAAATTAAACAAACAAAAAAAGACTATATAAGGATTTAGGTAAGTATCCCGTTAGTGAAATGAGAGCTAGGGGGTGCTCTCATTTCAGGACATTTGAGGACAGAGATAGTACAGGGGTTAAGGGACCTGCCTTACATGTAGCCAACCCCAGTCAATCCCTCATATTGCCTATGGCCCCTGAGCATTGTTAGGAGTGACCCTGTAGCACAAAACTGAGAGCTGCCCCACTGGGTGTGAGTGTGACACAAAAACGAAAAAAAAAAAAAAAGGAAAAAGAGCCAAAGAGATGTACTGTATTCAAGACTACAACTATAATATAGTAGGTATGGTTTCCCTGCATGAGGTAGACTTGGGTTTGATCTCTGGTACCATATGTGGTTCTCTCCAGCCCTGGCAGGAGTAATTCCTGATTGAAGAGTCAGAGTAAATCCTGAGCACTACTAGGTATGGCAGAAAAAAAAAAAAAAGGTACTGCATTTGATCCTTTAGGAAGAGCTTGGCAATGAGAGATTGACTCAGGAATCAAGAGTGCCACCTTGAGAGCTAACCCATGGTACCTGTCTTGGGAGCAGCCACCCACCCAGTCATCTTCCCCAGAAGGTAGTAAACAGTATCTCTTACCCATCCAAGTGTGGAGCAGGTTTCGTGGTACTGTACAATAAACATCAACACAAAGAAGGTGGCAAAAACCAGGTGTTCAGGTGAATAGAGCAGAAGGGTTTAAAAGCACAGCATGTAGAAAACAAAGAGGCAAAGATAAAAAGATAGGAAAAAGTTAAACATGGTATGTATCTACATTTAAAAACCTTAAGAGTAATAGCTATTTTATATGTATTTTAGATCCTCAAGAATATAACACAAAATCTTAACTTCCCCAATATGAAACAAATGTATTTTAAGTATGAAATTTAAGTATATGTTAAAAATGAACCTACATTTGCCCTACAGAAAGAAAAGGATGACAAACACCATATAGTAACTAATTTCTTTTACTTGATCATATATCATACTTCTCACACAGAGTCAGTACTCATCTTCTAGGCAGGTAGATGGAGGTAGGACCATGAGTTCTTTTTCAGAACTTCCTGCCCCTTTTTTATACCTAAGGTTAAAGCTCCTGCAGCTATTCTGAGAACGTTATAGGGAGCAAACCTTCAATCTGACAATACTTATTTACAGCAAAATAATAGTGGAAAGTGGAAATAGCATTATAGATATTTTAAAATTCCATAACCCAGAAAATACCTACAAGGCTTCCTGTACATCACAAATAGGCAGAAAGTCAATCTTGGGTACCTAGCCTACAGGTACAGTATTGACCAAGATAACCCAAGATGGTTTTCCCATAGTATTTTCACAGATTTTGGCACTATGTGAATTGTGTGGAAAAATAAGCCCAAAGCAGCAATTCAGACTCAGAAGTACATATCACCAACATCTTAGTTTTAAGGATAAGCAACACATATTTGAGAGAAACGTCACACTGAGTGTTAGGTCATGTTAAACCAGTTGATTGCATTAGAAGTTTCTATATCAATTTTTATGACAATTCTAAGACATGTAAGTCAACAGAACACAATTTTTAATCTTTACAACAGTGCTAAAAGTCCCGATCCTACAAGAATTGTAACACATCACAACGCTTAGTTCAGAGTTTAAGATTTAATTTTTAAGGGGCTGGAGCAATAGTACAGAGGGTAGGACATTTGTCTTACACATGGCCAACTAGGGTTCGATCCTGGGCATCCCATATAGTCTCCCAAGCAGTACCAGGAGTAACCGCTGAGCATTACTAGTTGTGACCCCAGAACAAAGCAAAACAAACAAAAAAAAGAACTAATCTTAGGGGGCAGAGAGATAGTACTGCAGGCTGGGAGCTTGCCTTGCATGTAGTACTACATATGGTCCTCTGAACACTGCCAGGAGTGATCTCTAAGTGCAGAGCCAGGAGTAAGCCCTGAGCACTGCCAGGTATTGCCCCTGCCATCCCCCACCAAAAAAAAAAAAAAAACATATACGTTAAAATTTAATTTTAAATAATTTGAATATCAATTTTAAAAATTTCAAATTTCAAGAGGAATTTGGAACTTAAAAAGCATTAATTTCAGGGGCAGAGATTATCACTAAGCAGTAGAGCTCTTTCCTTCATGTGGGAGGTCTAGGTTTGATTTGTTGTTAACACAAAAATAAACACCACAAGTCTTAATCCGTGCTCATTCAATCAAAGTAATAGTAATAAAAGTCAAAAAGAGGCAGGAAAGAGGAGAGGAGAAGTGGGGAGGAGGACACAAAGAGAAGAGGGAAAGGAAAGGGGGTAAGTGCAAAGAGTAAAATACACAAGCAAACTAGTGGGGCAAACTAGTTTAAGTCAAACTAGAAGTCAGAAATTACTCTGGACAGTAGACCGGCAAGCTACTGAGAGTATCCTGCCCACACGGCAGAGCCTGGCAAGCTCCCTGTGACGTATTAGATATGCCAAAAACAGTAACAACAGGTCTCACAATGGAGATGTTACTGGTGCCCACTCGAGCAAATCGATGAATAACGGGAGGACAGTGCTACAGTGCTATAAGCTAGATAATAATTCCACTGTAAAGATATAAAAAATTAAAAAATTTCATAGTAAGCCCATTCTACCATGTTAAGAGATCTCAAATATGTATGCAGCAGTGAAACAGTTGACTGATTAGATACAATCCTTCCTTTGTTGATTTCTTTTTTAAAATTTTCAAATCTTCAAGTATTAGAAAAGGCCTACCTAATTTTTCTTTAAAACACAAAGGTCTGTTTAATTTGCTACCTTGGCTAAAACAACTGATAGCAAACCTTTGGAGCAAATGATGACTAAAACATTCTAGGGCCAGAGCAATACTACAGTGGGTAGAACGTCTGCCTTGCACAGTTGACTTGGTTCAATCCTCAGCATCCCACTTGGTTAGTTGAGCCTGCCAGGAGTGATTATAGAGTGCAGAGCCAGGAGAAATCCCTGAGCATTGAGGGTACGGACCCCAAAAATAAATATTATAATAATATTCTAGCTAACTGCAGTGATGCATCAACATAGTAGTTGAGACTCAATTGAGGATGAAATATAGCTAAGTTTTATTTTCAGTTGAAGCTGCAGAACAAACTTGGTTCTTAATTCCAATAAAGAAGAAAACAAATTTAGACAGGAATTCTTTCAAGGATGAATCTTAGCTGTCCAATTATGCCTAAACTGGTGTGAAAAAAAATTAAGTTTAATATCTGCAATTCAGAATGCAGAAATACTTATTTATATTCTAATTGGGTTAAATCACATATCAAGAACATGAAAAAGAGAGATAGCTCAACAAACTGAGTACATGCCCTGCATATAGGAGGCCCGACCTAGTAGTTCACCCAGCAGTACCTATCCCAATATAAAGAAAGCTCATTGGCTCTGGACAAATATTAGACATGGTGAGAGGACACTGCCAAATGTGGTTATAAAAGGAGAGGGGTAAATGATATGCTCAGGTGGTTAATCAGTTCTGCAGAATATAGATAAAAAGATGTCATCTCACCAACTCTAATTGTAATGATCTTTTAAAACTATATACTCATTTAAAAACCCATGCAAGAGACATGTTTTACTACCATGCCAATACTTAAGTTATTACCTTAAGAAAGCCAGAAACTATAATGAATTTGTAAATTTATATATGTTTATGAACACATACCTAAAGGAAAAACCACATTTCAAATTATAAAACATTCAATATTTCCAAGATTTTCATTTTCTCTTATCACACAAACAATGATTTCCCAGTTTTCTCCATTGCTCAATTTGTTTTAACATGTATGAGCGAGGATTCATTTAAACTATTTAAATATTCAAAACTGAAAAATGTCATCATTATTCACACACAACCTACATTTTTATATCATTACTACACTTTTCACCTTCACAGAAATTAATAGTTCTATACTGGAATGAGATCTAAAACCATTAAATATTCAATACAGACCCTCCACCCCCAAATATATATATACATATATATTCATATATGTAAACTTAGTGGAAACAAGCCACTGAAATTAAAATAGTCTTTCCCAGATTTAATCACAAACAACAAAACACATTTGTTTTACATGTACTGCTGCCATACAGTAAAAGAAAAAGGTTTTCTTAAAATGTTGCAATACACATAAAAGAGATACACTCTAAAGAGATAAAGGCAAAGAAAGAAAAAGAGAGCCTTAGAGTAATGAGACATTACCTTTGGAGCGCACGGTGTAACACTCTTTCTGTAAATTTTACACAAAAATGGCAAGAAATAAATTGTAATACACTTTTAGACAAGACTGAATATGTTTTAATATCAATATAACTTTTGAAATTAAATATTTTCAAGTTTATGCAAAGCAAGAAAGCTTTTGAAAACGGAGGGCTCTAAATTTTCTTTCACACAGAGTATGTATGTAGAGATGAATTATGCTTAAGAAAAGCCTTGTTGTGGTTGATGTGGGGATCTTCTCAGATCTTTAATATAGTGTGTGAATAACAATTACTAACAAAACATTACATTTCCTTTCATAAATCCTAGAAATTAGCTAAGTCATCTTTCTCAAGTAAAGAATACCATATCTTGAGTACAGGCATAAAATGTCCAGGATCTACCCACAGAAAACAAAAGTTTCAATGTAATGAATTAAAAGAATTCAAAAAATAATTTGAAAGGATTTTTTAGTTTTGTTTTTTCACTAACTTAATTCAATTAAAGAATACCTGATGCCTCTACATTTGTAAAACACTGGGGAGATGAAGACTGGGATCCCGTATCACACGAGATGGAAGCAATGAGTAAAACTAGACAGTAATTAGCTTGTTGCTATTACACATACTCTGTAATTTTTAAGTCATAGAAAATAATAATAATAATAATAATATTAAGGCAACATAACTAGGATCATAGGGATCTTCAAAAAAGACTAAAAAGACCAGGGCTGCACTATATAATAGCTCAATGGTAGAGTGTATGCTTTTGCAACTATGGGGGCTTGATCCCCAAAACCTCATACACCCAAAAATAAATAGAGAGAGAGAGATCTGAAGTAAAAAAATACAAAATGTTGAAAACTTTTTGAGAGAGAGAGACAGACAGAACTAAAGCAAATAAAACAAAAGGTGTTAAACTTAAAAGGTGAGAGATGAAATTATCATTTATTGTTATCAAACCTTGGTCATAGTCTATTCTTTCTTTTTCTAAGTCTGATTTCCCTTTCCTGCTAAAAATTTTTTAAAAGAAAATACATTGACCAATTTTATTCTATTAAAGTTTACATACTCAGTCTAGATACTACATTATATAGAGTGGATAAAATTCTTTATGGAGGGATTTCAGACATATTTAATCTTGCAATATTTAAAAATAAGTTTAATTTCTTGTAAAGGCATTGATATATGAATTAGTCAAAAATAAAAATTTTTCAAGTAATATGGAGTTTCAACAACTGCTGTGAAAAAGTGACTCTAAGTATGAAACAGTATGGAAGAAGGAAATAAGTACAACTTATTTCAGTCTAAAATAGCCTCTAACATGCAAATTTTTAAAAATTTTACCCCTGAAAACATTATGGAAGAGGTACCAAATTGGAGAATAACAAAGTCTATGAAAGAAAAATGGAAA